GCCGGCAATTAGCATTGGGTAAGCCAGAGAGGGCAATTTCACCGCTAGTGGGCAAAGATGGTTTCCAGGTGTCGATGGATGTCGCCCATTTCAAACCCAGCGAATTGAATGTACGAGTTGTAGACAATAGCATCGTAGTGGAGGGCAAACATGAGGAACGTGAGGATGATCATGGTTACATATCTCGTCATTTTCTGCGTCGATACACGCTGCCCAAGGGATATGATTCCAATAAAGTGATGTCATCGCTTTCATCAGATGGTGTACTGACAGTTATGGCGCCAAAGCCGCAGATGGAAGACAAATCCAATGAACGTCATGTACAAATACAACAAACTGGTCCGGCACACTTGAACGTTAAGGAGAATGGCAAAGAAGAGAAGAAGACTTAAACATTTGCCGCCACTTCAATTATATCAATAACAACGCATTCCTTAAAACATAAACGCATACACCTATCCTCGAGCGGGTCTGGAGTTTAGTTCATACATTCGGAGTTTAATTTAATTAGCTTTTTCCATTTTTAATATAGTTTGAAGTTTGTACTGAAGGAAATAAATGCCACTCATTCGTTAAAAAAAAAAAAAAAACATTTTGAGTTTTATTTTTGAACAGATACTTATGTACCATATAGTATGTATATGGAGCGGTCTTGAGGGTCGTAATTATGTATATCAGATATTTTGGAAATCAAGAAGTATACAACGTAATTGCATTTATTCAACGGTAAATTTGCAAATATGCAGCTTTGAACCGATGAATAGTAATAGCTGTTGAAATGAATAGTTTCCAAAACGGCAATTTTAATTTCAGGGATCATTTTCCTAGCAAATTATCTAACAAACTTTTTTTATAGATTGCAAAAATATGGATGGATAATTACACCCTGAACATGATATGTAAATTAAGATTGCCACGAAATTTGTAACCAGGGTGACTGCCATACAAACTGGCCGATTCGAATTAAGTCCTTTTTTATTTGACAAGATATCCTCACGAAATTCAGCATGGATTATTCTCCAAGGAATTGCTAAGAAACAAATTGTTTAGATCGAATAACTACCTTATTAAGTAGTCTTATTTCGACCTAAGATTATTTGTATCAAACAACGATAGAAAGAGTTAACAAAACGTTTTCCATTGAGGAAAGATTTTGGGAAACAAAAAGAAGTTGCAATCGCCGAATCTGGAGATAGCAGTTCGCTCATTTCGATTGATTTAGTGTTGTCATGATGGAAGAGCTCTATTTTTTTCACCAAACGCGACGGTTTTTCTGCAATTCCGCGTCAAATCGGTCTAATATTTAGGTGTCCGTTTTGCTTTTATGTGGAAGTCGACGTAGATTAGACTTTATGAATCGTAAAAAACGGTGGTCAACCCTTTTCGGACCCATAGAACAGTATTTTTTGAGCACTCGTTATACTCGTAAGTACATATTTACTTTTTAATCTGGTAATTTTATTTGCAAGTGAAAAGAGAAGACATAAATTCCTCAGATGAAAATATTTTGCTTCCAGCTTTGTGCTAAATATTTTTTTAATGAATTAAAAAGAGTTTGGAAAGCATCCCTTAAAAACAAAACGGGATGAATTTGGTGAATTTCAGCATTTGTATAAAGATTTAGGACGTTATTCGCAAAAGTTTTTTAAAAAGATTACATTCTCGAAAAGTTTGAATCCATAATAACTAAAATTAAAGTAATTTTATAATAAAAAAAAAAAATACCAAAACGCCATGTGAATGACTTATAGTAACTCTTAAGTGAGATAATTAAATTTTATTTAAATTAATATTTTGCTTCACATTGCATTCGCACTTACACTCAAACACAAAAGTTTTATTGACAATTAAAAGAAGATTTTCAATTAGACATACTTATTATACGTTTACATATTCAATTCAAGTATTAGAGTTTGACTGAAATTGTTGAATCGACGTTAAATCCAAAGTAAACACAATGGAATCTGAAAAATTGCTAATGGGTTATGTTCTTTCTTCTTATTGTAAATTTTCGTTTGTAACTGGTGTTTGGGTGCATGTGCCACCTATTTGATATTTTATATTTTTTTGGTATACATGATTATATACAATGTTCTGAATATCCATTCGACATAAAAGTTTAGCTTCGGGTTCCAATTTACGAATATGCGGTAGAAGCGACTCAAAAAAGGCCTCATCTTCATCTCGTTCTTTTTTTTCGGAGTGTTTCTTTTCAAGTAAGAGTAATTTACGTTTTTCAATTTCCAATAGTTGTGAAGTACTCTTTGCCTGGCTTAAATATTTCTTTTTCGTTGGGGGCGGAATATTGAGTTCAAATTTATCGCATGTATCGTCCGTGTCTTCGATTTGAGATATATTCAAACTACTTATATCATCATTTACACCTAGTGGATCTTCGTTACCACTTTCATCCGGAATAGTCCTTATTTTCTTTAAATTTCCGCTTAGTTCCCGGTGCTTCATTTGGTCTTTTAAAAATAATAGTTGCTTAAAGTAGGGCCACTTCGAATGGAAATCTGAATCTATAATATCATTATCACCAGATATCGGAACAGAAATTTTACGTAATTCAGCTCGAAATTGATCGCGAATATACTTCCACTTTTTCTTCACCTCTTCCCCTGAAAAAAAATAAGCATAAAAGAAACGGATGACATTTATTTTTTATTAAATACATTTTAATTGAAACATATATTTGGCAACAGGGGCATGATTTATTTCAATATAATTTGCAATCTTAAAGGAAACATGCCACGTTCTCCAGAGCACGTGCCTCATCCAACAGTTTTTTCTGTTATTATTTCAAACGATTGCTGACGAATATTGGAAATTATCGAATTTCCACAATCGGAACTATTAATGGAAAACATATTAGGATCAAATGTAAAGCAAATTCTGGTTCAATGTACATATTACAATTATAAAATTTTTTTTTCAATACTGTTACAAGCTATGGCCGGTGCCAACTGCAAGTTCATAGCAATAGCAGTGGGTGGATATGGAACGCAAAGTGATGGCGGTACTTCCAGTTCTCCTTAAATATATAATTTTTTGAAACATAACGATAATCTGTGTTAAAAGATGCGCATACATACAAACATATTGATAAATTTATCATTCATTTTTCTTTGGGATGAAGCGTACCTGCTATTAATCACTGCAGATCACGAATACTTTAAAGAGCGACTTTCAAGAGCAAGAAAATGCATTGAGCCTGCATTTGGAATTATAAATGAAAAATTGAGACAGAACTAGGACCGGCGGAAATAAAAAAGTGTTAAAACTTGTTTAAAGTCTAAAAACTTTATTGAAAACATAAATAGAAACTAAACGTAGCAACAAATCGCATCAAAAATACTTACAATGAACAACATTTAAAAACTGGTGGAGAGTTAAGGGAAAAATTTTGTAATTTTGTATGCCAAAATAAACTACTTATGTCGAAAAAAATTTTATTAATACTTACTCTGTAAATTCATTTCACTTGCAACTGATTCCCATAGATGTTCAACCAACATTCTATTGTGATAATTTTTATTTTTTCGATCCCATAGAGCAGGGCGAGCAAAAACTTCACTTATCAACATGTTAATATCCATATTTGTGCTTTAAATTACATGCAGTCACGAATTGCATGAAAATACAACTGAATATTATGCGCAATTTCAATGCCAGTCGGCATCGAAAAACACTTCAAAACTATTTTCTCGCATTAAACAACTTTACGCTCGGCTTCGGTCAGCTTCCACTCTCTGCGCTGCCTGCGCGACTTCGTATGAAAATGTAAGCATACAGATTTGAAGCTTATTTCTCGCATTCGTCAGTTTTGCGCTCCGCTCTGCTTTTAGCGTCCACTCTGCAGCAGCGTTGCCGTTTTCGTCCGATCGGACCAAAATTGGTAGTTTCAATTACCTTTGATAGTTGGTTTTCTAGGCAATATTATTTAACAGATTTGCAGTTAATCTAAAGATTTGTCCGCTTACAAAAAGCATACTCTATTGCTTGCAATTTATACTAACTAAAAAATAGTCGTGAATGGCAACCATGTGCTTAATAAGGGGAAAATGAGAGATCTAACGATAATTAAAACTGTGAAATCAAGGTGGAAAGTGTGAAAAATTTGATATTTGGCGCTTTACTGCAACTTCATATATCAAATGAAATAAAAAGAGGTTTAATGGATAAATAAAAACTTGAGTTATACTTTTAATAATTGTTAATATTATACTTTTCAACTGTTTTTTTTTAGGTAAGAAAGTACACAAAATCTCCGTAGTAAGCGAACAAAAGGATATCGACGTCAGGTAAATGAAAATATATATTAAAGGTTAGCGACATGTCAACTAACAATATGACAATTTTTTGTAGTGATGAAAGCTCGCCTAGACGAAAACTTCGTAGAGAATGGTTAAAAATATTTGATTTGCTTGAAGAAAAGGAAGTATGGGCATTAGGTGTAGCTAATCTTGGTTTAACTGTAAGATTTGTTTGTATATACATAGATTTCCAAATGTCAAGTGAAATAAACGCCAATGTTTTAATAATTAAAAAATTTGGTAGTTTTGCAACAAATTTAGTTATCATTTTGGTACTCATAGATTTTCTTAAGTGGCAACACTGACCCTTTGCTTTCTTCGCTTTGCTGTTAAAGTATGAATTGTATGTGAATCGGCAATTATTGTTTAAGAATGTAATTACATACTTATGTAGAATTGAGGAGAATTATCCACATAAAAATTTTTTCAATACATTTCAATAAATATACCTTTTGAACTTGATTTATCAATTTTCAGTCATAATAAATGAGTATAATACTATTTATAAATAATATAATATAAAAGCAGAGAACTCAAAATATAAGTATATATATTGTATCATATAAAATTCTTTTAAGTTCTCTGTTGTAGGCTTATTTATGCTCCCACATATACAATTTACTCTTAAATTATCTACTCCCTTAACATCACATTCACCCTCTCTAACGCAAAAGAGAAAATTATATATTTCAGTTCTCTCTATTATCTATGCTTATTGAATTTTGATTTTTCGAGAATTTACGGGTAATTTCAAGCATACACACCCGGCGTAAAATATACACATTTCAAGCGTATAAAAGGCAAGCGAGCGTAGATTCTTCAGCAGTTTTTCACAAACGAATTAAGAGATTAGTTGTGTCCGCAGTGTACTTACACCTATCAGATTTGCGCAAATTATCTTAAAAATAATTATTAAATAAATTTGATTGAAAAATAAACAATAAAAAAACATGTCAAGTTTACCAATTCTATTGAATCTAATTGACGAGTTGGATCGCGAGAACTACAATCCGCTGTACTACGGCAACGATTTCGGATTGGGTTTGCATCCACACCACATTCATCGCCATCACCATCATCGACATGAGCCAGCTGCTAACGATCTTGTTGGCTATTCGCTGCCGCTGGGATTGCTAAATCGCTTGGGTGAACGAGCTTTGAGTCGACGGGCGCAGCAGGGAGAAAGCCGTATGTCTCAAGTGGGCAAAGATGGCCTACAAGTGTGCATGGATGTGGCACAGTTCAAGCCAAGCGAGCTGACTGTGAAAGTAGTTGATAATAGCATTATTATCGAGGGCAAACACGAAGAACGTCAGGATGAACATGGTTATATTTCACGACACTTCGTACGGCGATATGCACTGCCGAAGGAATATGATGCCGATAGAGTCATTTCAACGCTATCATCAGATGGCGTCCTCACAGTTAGCGCTCCAAAGCCACAAGAAGAAAAGTCCAACGAACGTGTGGTACAAATTCAACAAACCGGTCCGGCTCATTTGAATGTCAAACAAAATACGGAGGAGAAGATCGGTGATGCCAACGGAGACGCCGAGCAGAAGTAAATGCAAGATAGCAGACAGTGATTGCAAAAAATTGCATATACATTTTATTCATTCCATATGCACGAAACGCCTTAGTGATTCGTAATACTAATGTATTTTCGATAAATACTACTTGTTTGTGCAGCAAGAAACAAATTAGAATAGAAATTGCGTACCGGCAAAAATGCACTAAATTCTCATTCATATTTATGTATATTGAGTATCCATGTAATATTATAAGTTTTTGCTGATTAATATATTCCTAATAATTTTATTTAAATTAATATCGCAATCATTCATTCGCTAAAAATAAATACTTTTAGAATACATAAATTTGTTTATTTCTGTAGCTGGAATATTATTGAATAGGACTTTCACTAGTGGTTCGATCTGAGCAAAATATTGGAAAATTGTAGCGCTGTCTTAGTCAATAATCTATGCTAAAAATCGTGGAGATAATTTAATAAAAAAAAAGTTTTCCATACATGAATTGGTTTTAATCGTTCAGTTTGTATGACAGCTACATCTATACAGGTATTAGAGACGGACATGGTTAAAGCAACTCATATATGTATTGAGTATCCGATGTTTCCTTCTGGATGTTACAAACTTCGTGGCAAACTTACTTGTTACCTTGTTAAGGGTGTAAAACTATAACACAGAGACATATTCAAAATAATACTTGAAACAGGTTTAGCTTTGGGGAATAATTTTTAAAAAAGATGAAATTATGCTCATCACTGATTGGCAGTATGTGGATTTAGTTGAGAACTCCTCGTACTTCCACGCATGGTTCGCACTTGAATGGCTTTTTTACAATGGTACAAAATCATATTGTTTCTGCGCCACACATGCATACATACATATATATATGTATATATTGTACATATGTAAATGACAATTAATTTGGGATTATTGTGCCTTTATCAACATTAGATATATATACACACGTTTTTGTTTTCCCAGAATTTCATGAAAACAATTATAAATTAAGCGACGCTACCGCTAAATGCAATTTATGCGTTTGAAACCCTAAATCAAGATAGTATACACGCATAATAAATGAAAACATAATTAATTAAGTTGTTTTCATAAATTAGGTATATACATATTTGTCCAAAAGTTACTGTATACATGCATACAAGCGAAAAAGGAGGGAGTAGAAAGCCAATATAGCAATGCGAACTAGTGAGCATGTAAAATATTCGAATGAGCAGCTTTTTTAAATAAAGTCCTCTAGGTGCTAGGGGACTTACGCACCTGTATTACACTTTACACTCGCGAATATTTTCTATATGGCGTAGTTGCGAGAATTTTGTAGATAACTGGAGCATTATATGCTCATATAGTTATTTCTCTATACTCGCTCTTGCCTATCGTCTGAGACTTCGCTCACCAAAGAATTCTTGCGCAAGTATAAAAGCCCATGCTGTATGCATTTTCCTTGTAATCGTTGTGGAAATTCAAAGTGTGTAGGGTGTAGGTATTACTATTGCGCTTCATTTTACTTACAAATAGTAAAAAACTAAACGGGGTATACATATATACTAAATAAAAACTTGTGAAAAATGCCAATTCGGAATATACCACCATTTGTTTTGAGTTTGGACTCAGCTCCATATTATAACCACGATTTGTATCCTAATCATATTTATCGACGTTTACATGAACGCCAACATCACCCCTTGGATTTAGGTACTTTGGGTTTAATTGCACGTCTGGGGCCGCATGCACATAACCTAGTGGCTGCTAAGCACAGCACCGAAGGCAGTGTAGTTAACCGTTTTGGAAAAAATGGTTTCGAAGTGCACTTGGATGTTGGTCTATTCAAACCGGAGGATCTAACCGTAAAAATCGTTGATGATTCATTAGTGATTGAGGGCAAACATGAAGAACGTGAAGATGAACATGGTCATATTTCGCGGCACTTTGCGCGTCGCTATGTACTACCGAAAGGTTATGATGAGGAGAGCATTGTATCGACATTATCCTCGGACGGTGCGTTGACTGTGCGTGTACCATCACCACCACCACCGCCAGAAGTTGCAAAGAAGGAGCGCATAATAACTATACAGCAGGTTGGCCCTTCTGAAATTTTTCTAAAGAGCAAAAGTCAGGAGGAGATCGAAGCAGCCGCCACAAAATAAACACTAACTGCGTATTACACCAAAAAAATTGTATTCTGTATTCATATACTTCTCGATGTCGTGAAGGGAAAACATTGGAAATGTACCAATAATGAATTGAAAACGTAAACCAGTAACTTTGCATTTACATATATACAAACACTAATTAAATAGATGTACTAAAAGTTTTTAAATATTTGCCATTATAATAATGTAAGCATTTAGTATTTGAAATGACTGGTAATTTTAAATACGCAGTCTGGTTTATTAATGAATTATGTAAAAGGATATTGCGCATATGCCTAAAATGCAGCTTTATAGTGATATATTTGTATTGCGCAATATTTTCATTATTATATTTATATATGTAGCTATTTACTATTTAAGTGAATCCTTATCCTTTTGGAGAATCTCATCTTATCATATTGTATTGCAATTGAATCAACTTTTCTACTTTTTATCGCAAACTTTTTAAATAATTAATACAAATATATATACATATGAATGAATTAAAATAAAATTGAGAGCAAGTTCATTATAAGTAAATATTTAAAATCGAATAAATGAAGCATCCATAATAAATTGTTCTGTGTGCGTATCTTAAAAATGGCGATAATTATTATAATCTATTGTTAGGATTGCTTTGTTGTTTTGTTTTAAGTTCAGGTGTAAACGAAATTTGGAGCGGAATCGAAAACTGTGTATCCGGTACACTTTAAAAGAAAATAATTAGTCTCAAATAGATTTTGCTTAATACCACAAAAAATAGATACATTTTAATTACTGTAAGACTAAATGTGTATTTGTTTAGCTTTTTCCCGGAAACACAACTTCTTGTTATTGTAAAGTGGACATCCTGTCACAACACTCATGCTATGGAAATTACTTACCCATTATGATGTGCTACGGTTTGATACTTCAGTCTTTTGTTGACCAAGTTATTGCAAATATTATTTTGCCTTTTTAAAACTTCCGCGTAACGTAGTCACAATATAAAAGCACTGACCTTGAAATTGGCGCTCCATTTTGTTTTTCGCTTATTAGAAAAACGCTAACTTGTAATTGAAGTTTTAGTGCCACTGCTCCAATTCACACTTTATATATAGGCACTTTTTCAAATACAATAGTATACAAGTATTTCACTTCTCTTTTAATTAAATTTATTTAAACAAAGCTTTACTACTTTACTTCACAATCACTAACGTATTTAAAAAACGTTACATTATCATCACTCAAATTTTTTCACTGAGTCTTAAGGGCATAAAGCCGAGGTTCCACTATTGTTAACAACACTACAATTATACGGTTTTAGTTTGTTTATTCAAACTCACTGTGATTTGAATTTGCACATACTTTACGGTTATATGGGAAAAATAATATATTTTTTAATTTTATATTATAAAGAATAAGTTTAACATGTTATAAAATTCAATACAACAATATATATTTTTATCTATTGCTCAATCATTTTGAACGTTTCTCGAATAAGAGCAAGAACGTATGGTGAAGTTGTGTTTTATTTGTATGCAGGATTGATATTTCACCATGGAGTTTTATTATCAAATTTCAATTAAAAGATTATGGAGGAAATATTTGTAAATAATTAAATAGCCTTTTATTTAATAAAAAAGAAAACCTAATGACAAAAACGGTAGCGAAAACAACGACTATCGACAATACGTAACGGCAACGGCAGTAAGGAGATAGGATACTATGACGGATCGAAGTAGTCGTGTGCTATCCTCCTGGTTTTTGGAGCGTAAGGTGATAGGCGATCGTATAAGACTTTATATTGGTGTCACCGCAGTTGGACGAACACCGGGATCAGCTCTATGTATTTTAGATTCTCATTATGTTTCACGGAAACACGCGGAAATTACTGTGGATAATGATGAGAAAATCGTACTAAAGGATTTGGTGAGTTTAGTAATTGTAATAAAAATCAAACAATAACAACGTCATTTATATATATTTGTTTAGGGTTCGATAAATGGAACCTTTGTGAATGGCAGTAAAGTGCAGAATAGCGAGATCGAGCTAAAAGCAAACGACTGTATTGGAATAGGTGTAACGGATGATACCGAACCGAGCCTAAAACATCCAATATACAAACTTATATATGCACCAATGCCTATAGTAACAACTATTTTCAAAGCACCGATAGGAATTGAAGCAACTCAAGTCATAGTTGTAGATGGAGATTCAACAACAGAAAATTCAAATATCGCACAAGAAGTTAAAAAAGATGAACCTAAGTGCTCCGCCATATCAACTTCCGTAGCGGAAACATCGTCTTCCTCATTGTTACCTGGCGTTCCTACGGCAACCAGCACAAAATTAGACATAACTTCTAATAAAACCGACGTTTCATTAACAAACGTTAGAAAATCCAATGAACATTTGAAAGCTTCGACGTCGTTGTCAAAAGTACCGATGCTATATTACGGTGATGTAATTGTTTTAAGTGACGACGAGGAGGACAATGTTGTCCTTAAAAAGGAAGATAACAAACCGACTGAAGAGAGTAGCAGTAGCAAAGAAAAAATTAAAGAAACCCGAGACGAAAATTTGTTTAATAAACCTGAGCCGGTGCTTTCGAACACCAGCTCTTCAAGTAAATCGACGGCTTCAGTTGCTGGTACAATGACCGATAATGCCTCTTCCCTTCAACCAACGAACGAAAAAGCTGTCATACATGAGCCAATATCAGCTGATGTCAAGCGGGAGTTTGTAAATTCTTGCTACGAAAATGTGGTGGATATATTTGGTGGCACTGATGAGGTTATACTACAGAGTGTAAAAGCCATTAACCCATTGGTATACAAGAAGCTTAATGATGATAAAGCAATAGATAAACCACTTTGCAATGGCGACACTATCGATTTACTAAGTGACAATGAAGAGGACGAAGGCAGTAATGCTCAAAACGTGGAGTGCTTCGGTGAACTAGTGCCGGCCGATGCAAAAGAAGCACATACAATTAAAAAAACAATAAATAACAATGAGAATAACATTGAAGAAGTAAAGCAGGTTGATGATAGCACCTGTAAAACAGGTCGAAAGAGTCCAAGTTTGTTCGACAGTTCGCTAAACAGCTCCAAAAGTTCAGTGGACGAACAGAGGAGTGTAAATGTCGATAAACAAAGCGTGGAAAATGCGACGGAAGATTCCGTAAATACTGCAGAAGAATTGGCCGCTTTTGTGGATATGGATGATGATATGTTGTTCTCTCAAATTTTAATAAACGATATCAAATCTGAAATGATGTGTGACCATAATGAAGAAGAATTGGCGGTTGAAGACGAACCAGCCTATGACGCCTGCAAAGATAATAGCCCAGATGATTTTGCAAATATACAGATAAAGAAAGAGCCCATTGAGTATGATACGCCCGATTGCAAAGTGATTTCAACTAAAGGTAAAGCGAAATGCAACGAAATAGAAAATGACGTATGGATTACGATAGACGACGATGATGAGTATTACGATGAAGAGTTCGAGCACAAAGTTTCCGATTGGAGTACGAAGTTGCTGTCACAAAAAATGAATATGTCACAGGTGGGCTTCCGGTATATGCTGCAATTTGTCTTTGGAGCACTTTAGTATGCTTATGCTAATCTTGTTGTTGTTAATTTTTGCAGGTATTTGATTTTCAACATGATAGGGCAGACGACTCCGATGACAATGTTAAAAAGGAAGAAGAACATGGACTAACATATGAAAGCGATGACCTTGATTTTTTCAATGAAGAACTTGTAGATGATGTAGTTGCGACGTTGGCTAAAAAAAATGGTGAAATTAAAAACAAAGATCAATCGCCAAAGCTGGCACGGCGAATGTCACACTCGGGTGTTGGCAATTATGATGCGGAAAGCAGCAATGAATTGTTAAAACAACCAAAGAAACACGTTGTAAAAAAAGATCTGAAAAAAACACAGTTGGAAAGAAACTCAAGTAGTGAATCAACTGAAGCGCCAACAGGTAAGATTATATTTTTTAAAACCCATTTTTATACCCCGAACAGTGTATACAAAGTTTGCACGAAGTTTGTAACACTCAGAAGTAAACGTCGTGAGACCCAAAAGATATTTATATACAAATAATTAGCGCGTCGAGCTTAGTCGGAATCGACCAAAATCGAGTCCTTGTATGGAAGCATTTATATTTGTGAATCGTATTTAACTGTTTTTAATACAATAATAACAAATTTTTTTTAATTATTAACCATTTAGATGCCAAAGCGACTACTAGTAGTACAAGAGTTTCGAGCAGTGACGGCAAAGAGAAGGAAAGAAACGATAAAAGAGGCTTGAGTAAATCAATTAAACGTTTGCACCACCCACCCTCTGTAATCGATGCACCTTGTTTGCCCATACACAAGGGTAAGCACAGAGGCGTTTCCGCAGAAACACGCCCAACATTGCCAAAGGAAATGCACAAAAAAATGCGCGAGATCAAAGGACAATTCCGAGATGAGCGATATAGAGATGAATTAAAGAGAAAGTGGCTTGAGAAGCCAAGCGATGAGCGGCGCAGAGAAAACGAAAAGAAACGTAAGATAAAAGAATCGCGCAAGGAAAGATTAAAAGAACTTGCCGATAAGCAATTAGCAGATACGTCTAAGGAAGCCTTGCTGAAACGCAAACATTCTACCACTGACCACGAAGGTGTGGAGAAGAAGAAGGCTAAGGTGAAAATCACCGCAACCAATCGTGGTGCGCTGCTTGCAGAGGACATTAGTGCGCCTAAGAAATTTTCCAACACTTATAAAATACCAAAAACAAAGCGACCCAACAGCGATACAACAACAAATGCCATAGAGTCCACAACAGGTGCCACTGCAACAATTGCAACAATTCCCAAACCAAATCACCCAACAATTGTGGACGCATTTGCGCAGGAAATGAAAAAAGTCGATCAAATCATTCGTCGACGTTTATCGAGTAGCGGTAGTGCTAAGTCCGTGTCACGTTCAGCTTCGCTTGATGAGAATAGAAATGCGACCACAACAGCCGAAGCGAAAGCGCTTAATGCACCCGTGCGTAAATGTAATAAAATTACATTTGCCTCCATGCAAAAAAATTATACCGAATCTCGCATAAATCAACAACTATTGCAAAAAATCACAAATCATCGCTCGTGCCTCATAGATGTGGTGCATCGTAATGCCAATGAGGAGCGTCAAAAGAAGCATGTACGCTTCAATGAAACGCCAATTATCCACTATATTGAACGTGTAAATGGCGCGAATAAGCGTGTGGATCGCAAAGATATACTGCCAAGTCCAACTTGTGCGGATCGTGCGCAAATGGTGCGCCAAGCGTTCGCTATGATCGATAAAACCGCACAAATAATCTCACAAATATTGGGTTGGAGCAATGAGTGGCTGATCAATCGTAATGCTCAAGTGGATGCTGCCAGTGATATTATGTTGCCTATGCCAAATCAATTTAACTCATTCAATCATTATAAAAGGTAAGTTGTTGTTTCGAAATTTTTATGCCGTTAATTAATGTCAAATGTTTATTTGTGTCAAAAAATATAATTACCGTTATTGTCGATTACTGAGTTACCGTTAAGTTAGCAAAATTCATATACATATTTTAAATTATATTTGCTTTTCATATTTTTCAGCATAATTATACCGTTAATGAAATTAGAATTTATCAGTATGCTGGAACGTGATAATACTCGTTGCAAAGCCAAGCCGTTTAATCTCGCCGCGGATCAAGTCACTCCATATTTGGATCGTTATATCATATTGGGTCGTTGTACTGGCGTAAATAGTGCGAACACAAAATGCGAACTTGTCGTTTTGGAATGGGGCAAGTTTAAGACGTTCGCGTACATGTCGTCCAAGCGTGTGGGTATGTATTATGTAAAATAACAAAATTTGTATGCTCTAGCAAAATGTTGCACAAGATAGTTTTGTTCACCATAACCTAAAAATGTTTAGTAAAAACTAATTAATTGGGAACTAAGGCGAACAACATCTTTGAAGAGGCTTTTACGACAAATGAGCAGAATATGCAAAATTTCAGATCGATATATAAATAAATATTTAATCCTGTTTTTTATTTCTCAGGTTTCAACAATGTGACCCTCGTATATGAAGTGCTGGCAAAAGACTTAGCAGATTTAGAGGACTTACGTGCCAATCTTAAAAATCCAATTACAGTGCGGCCGATGGTCGATATTGTGCGTGTCGAATTTGGTGCCTTTAATGCCGTCTATCAATTGGAGCAATCGCCTTTGCTAAAGGAAATTCTGGATCCCATAGAATTGTGCAAAATAAAACCATATCCGAAATGCAATATACAATACAGCGGTTGTGACGAACTAAACAATCGCCAAAAGGATGTTTTACTACGCACATATCGGCATGCCACCGAATCGACACCGAATATAACCTTAATACAAGGGCCACCTGGCACCGGTAAATCCTGTGTCATTGCGAATTTGGTGCATCAATTGCTTTACGGCAATGAGGTGCGCATACTCGATCAAAAAGTATTGGTTTGTGCGCAGAGCAATGCAGCTGTTGATGTTATCGCTGAGAAGCTCTTCGATATGAGTCAAACGAAGTCACCGGATAAAATGTTCCGATTAATACGTTTCGGTTTGTTGGAGCGTATTAGTACCAAAGTACGACATGCTACTCTACCAAAAATTATTGAGCGCAATCAAATCAGAAAACTGAAAGCAATCTGCAAAAATCTGCAAATTGATCATAAAGTCGATATGAAAGAATATTTGCGCAATGAAATTTTAAAAATCGAAGCCGATATAGAACACATGAAGCTGAGTAACGTGAAAAACACTGTGCAGGAGGAGGTCCTACTGGAGAAGCAGCGACAAATTCAATTAATGCGCAATATTGTGAATGGCGTTTTGCGGCCCGAAGATGAGAATAGCTTGTACAATTGGCATTTGAAGCATGCGAATGTTGTGTGCACGACGCTGTCCAGCTGTGTGAAATTATCAAAGTATGTTTGCCGTTATCAGCACATTTGCTCTTTATACACTGAACAGGGTATATATTAAGTTTGCCACGAAGTTTGTAACAACCAGAAGCAAACGTTGTAGATCCTATAAAATATATATATATAAATGATCAGCGTGACGAGTTGAGTCTTTTTAGCCTTGTCCGTCTGTCTGTATATGCACGAACTCGTACTTCAATGTTTGAGATATCGATCTGAAATTTTGTATACGTGCTTTTCTCCCCAAGAAGTCGCCCATTTGTCGAAACTGCCGATATCGGACCACTATAGCATATAGTTGCCATACAAACTGGGCGATCAAAATCACGTTCTTGTATGGAAAATTTTTTATTTATCAGAAAATATCTTCACGAATATTGGCAGAAATTATTGTCTAAGACAGCGCTAAAATCTCCGAGCAAATTGTTCAGATCGGGTCACTATAGCATATAGCTGCCATACAAACTGAACAATTAAAATCAAGTCTCTGTATGGACAACTTTTTTATTTGAGGAATATTTTTAAGAAATTTGGGTTAGAAAATTTTAAAAGATAACGTTACAATCTTCGAAGAAATTTTTGAGTTCGGATCACTATTGCATATAGCTGCCATATAAACTGATCAAGTTCTTGTAAAGAAAATTTTTGCATTTTACTAGATATCTTTACGAAATTTTATTATTGTCCAAGACAGCACTACAATCTTCAAATCAATTTAGATCGAACTAGTAGAGCATATAGCTGTCATAGAAACTGTGCCATCAAAATCAAGCACTTCTATGGAAACTTTTTTATTTGTGAGGGGTATTATAGCTTTGGTGCAGCCGAAGTTAATGTTTTTCTTTTTTATATTTTACCACAAATTTACAGATACGTAAATTATTTTGATGTCTGCATCATTGACGAGGCGACACAATGTACGGAACCATGGACTTTAATGCCACTCAAATTTGGTATCAATACATTGGTGCTTGTCGGCGATACACAGCAACTGCCAGCTACGGTGCTCTCAAAGGTATGAACACCCTATATATGTTTTTGTTAACCAATATAAACTTTGTTATATTTTTCGTGACAGAAAGCATCCGATTTCGGTTTGGGCACGTCCCTATTTACACGTATCCAGCGTTGTATAGAATCGGTTACACTCAAAACCGTCGTCAAGGCCGATAAAGCGAGCAATGTTAGCAGCTTAGAGTGCACGGATATTATTTTTAGCTTACAAACACAGTATCGTATGCATCCGGAGATCTGCAAATGGCCCAATTCGTATTTCTATAAAAATGAGTTGATCGATGATGCCAAAACTCATCAATTCAAAACACCTTTAAAACCATTTTCAGTACTTAATCTGACCTATACACAAAACGATAATTGCCATCGTGGTCAAATCGCTAACGAACTGGAAGCACAGTTTGTGGCACGTTTGGTGAAAACGCTGGACGGTTATATACCCATGAAGTACAATACATATGGTGTAATAACGCCGTATGCACAACAGCGAGTTGCCTTAGAAAAAGCGTTGCGGTAAGCGTTTCACAAACTATTAAATGTAATATAATTTAGAAGAATATATATTTTACGGCTTTTAGCATGGCTGGTTATTCGAATGTGATGGTGAACACCATTGACTCATACCAGGGTATGGAGCGCGATGTTATTATTATATCGAATGCGCGCACTACTGGTATAGGCTTTTTGGCTAACTATCAGCGTTTGAATGTGGCTTTGACGCGTCCAAAGAAGTGCCTTATATTGTGCGGAAACTTTAAAAATTTGGAGGTAAATAGCATTATAAGAATTAAGTAATAAGTAATTATATTAATTCACAAGTGGAATAAACAAATCGCGTTTAGTGTGTGTTACTAACATTTGCTTTTCTAAAAGCATATGCCCCTGAGTAGCCCAAACCTTCTAGTATTCACTTATACCCCTATTATACCATATATTCGGCTCATCATCGCAGCGCCATTTGGTAGAATGTTGAACTAACCAAAATGTCTTGACTCAATCCATAAGAGATGTTGAGATCCTCTGCTATCTCTCTGATAGATTCGGAAGTTTTGATGAACCAAATTTATAAAATTTCTCAAAAAGTATTCTTCTTCGCTAAATTTTAACTTTGTACCAATCTCTTTTACTCATTCTACTAGACAGTGCCGGCTTGGCGTAGCCTTCTAACCTCAGCGCGTGAACGTAAGCTCTATCATGAGCTTAGTGCCAACTGCATGGATGATATGCATAGAACTGTAATTCCTAAAATCAAAATTTCTAAAGTAAACAACGCTATAACAGAAGCCACAGCAATAACAATAACCAAAGAAGTAACCACAGTCGCTACAATAACAAAACAAAATGAACAATAAGTACAATATAAAGATAAAAGTTAATGAAACAGAAACTGAGCTGTAAAATGTAGTCACTATTCATTAAACTGCACGGCACACGGCTGGGTATTGGACCAAACCAAATTTTGTCGAGAGATTAAGTCGTAAGTAAAAAAGTAATTTCTCCGTTTTTCGAAGTCAACTACAAAATCGAAATATTTGACTTCGAATTTCGAAATTTGGCATATTGAATAGAAAATTGTTAATTATAGTATGTCAGTTACTGAAAAAGTTAGAATATGGGCATCATCCACGTTTTCCTCTTATTTCAATAGTAAACAACAAGTCAAGTTTTTATAACATATGCTACAAGGTTAAAAATTCGGTCCAGTGTTTTTGAAATATACAATTTTTTTTCAATGATTTGACGTTGTTGACCTTTGCTCAATTTCAAAATTCGAAGTGAAATATTTTGATTATGACCTTTGCTATTTTTATATTTCGAAATTCGAGGCCAAATATTTTGATTATAATCTTTGCTCAATTTCGAATTTCGGTGTAAAATATTTCGACAATGACCTCAATTTCTAAATTCGAAGTCAAGTATTTCGACTTTGACCGTTGCTCAACTTTAGCATTCGAAGTCAAATATTTCCACATTTATCTTTGATGAATTTCGAAACTCGAAGTTTTGACTTTAACACAATCTCTCGAAAAGAATCGGTTTAGTGCAATACCCAGAAAAAGTTGATTTTGCCGTAGTGTTATTAATTTTCAACTTGAAAGAATTTCTACATTAAGAGAAAAAGGCAGATTGTATTGTATATTATAAATTTTGCACATTGTTATAAAAAAATCCACAGTTATATAATATGTATAATATAAAATCCATATCGTAAAATAACTGATCATATAAATATGTATAACACTATTGTAGAATAGCTGTGTAACTGATATTTGCATTTAAGTATTCACCACAGCTACAGCTCTGTCCTTATCCGCGATAGTATTTTATATTTACTATACTTTTTTCTGAAAATTGCATAATACCGGCCTCAGAGTGCTCGTAACTCATACAAATGATTACGTTTCATGTGAACATTACTTATAACGGGTTAATTACTTAGCTTTGTATAACAAATGCGAGATTGCGCAACTATTATAAGATATGTTAGATTAGAGTTAATATGAAAGCGAGAAATTTGTTGAACGCAAAAAAAAAAAACACAAATATTATATATATATATAATAAACTTCAGCTGGCTTGTTTAAAAAAAAGTTGGTTTAAAAAATAAAATATATATATGTGAATCCAGATTTCTGTATAGATGCACGTTACACATACGTCTAAGTATATTATTTAGTTTGTATGTGTGTAAAGAAATGTGTAATATATATTTTTTAAGCGTCCTGCAAGAATACTACAAATAAATAAGACTTTTATTTACTTGATTTTTTGTTTTTCATAAGATATACATTTATTTCACAATACTCAGGTATTCATTTTTTTACACAAAATATCTATTAATTTTAAATGAATGCTGCTCCCATAAATTGAAATATTTTTATAATTCGACGAACTCATTTAATATTTTCTCTCATTAAAATAAATATGCAATAATTAAGAGTCGGTTTTTTTTTATTAATAATTAATGAAAAATTATGTAAATATATACCATATCTTTTTTAACTTTCTGACTGCAAGATTAAGGTTTCGATAATAAAATGTTGAAATATTTGTATTCAAAAAGGTCTTCATTTAATTTCGTTTCAAAAAAATTTGGCTTTTGTGGGCTCGACTACCATGGTAATGCAATTTATGTGTATTGCAGAGTTGCGAATTTTTTAATTAAAAAATTTGGATTTAAAGTAAGATTTTAAATTTTTGTTTCCAATTGGGAGCTTAAAAATTTAAAAAAAAAAAAATTAAATTATATTTTGAAAATTGAAAAAATTATTTTATTTTTATAATTTCAATTTTTAATTCTAATTATTTTAACTTCAATTTTTAATTCCAAAATCCGAACTAAACATTTAAAATTTAATTTTTAATCTCAAAATTGGAATTAAAAATTGAAAATCTAATTTTTGCAATTTTCAAAATATAATTAAAATTTTTTAAATTTAAAATTTTTAAGCCCAAAATCGGAATTAAAGATATTTTAAATTTGAATTTCAATTTTCCAATCAAAATCGTATGTTGGGATTAAAAATTAAAAAGTATGTATGGATACATATTTATATTAATAAATAATATTAATATATATTTCAAAATTAAAATTCTCAAACATTTTGGATTAAAAATTGAAAATCTAATTTTTTATATTTGAAAAATATAATTTAAATTTTTTTTTAATTTTTAATTAACATCTTAAAATCGGAATCCAAGATATTTAAAATTTAAAAATTGAAATTTAATTAAATTTTTTTGGAATCGAAGTCGCATGTTGGGATTAAAAATTAAATTTTCAATTTAAAATTAAAAAGTATGTATGGATACAAATTTATATGTATATTTAAAAATTAAAATTTACTTCTTAATCCAAAATGTTTGCGATAAAAATTTGATAATTGAAATTTTTTTTTTTTCAATTTGTTAATAAACGTTGTAATGCACGGTGTTTTGGATTAAAAATTGCGAAATTTTAATCTAAAAATTGGTGTTAAATTTTTTTTAAATTAAAAGCGGGCATGTATAGGGATAAAAATGAGAGATTTACATATTTCTATCGGAACAATGTAATTAAAAACAATTAAATATAAATAAGACAAAAATAGCTAAACTGATAATGATAATTTATTGAAATTAAGCTCACGAAGTGCGTTCTACTATTATCGCGAAAAAATGTAAATTCTAAAACAATTTCTTTGTTAAATTTTTAATTATTAGCTTGGGATAAGATGTATTTTCAATCCCGAATATAGAGTTAAAAAAAAATTAATTTTATTTTTGGGATTAAATTTGTTTTGTTTTTCATGCCAGTTTTCGGTTTTACATTTTTTTATTTTTCCATCCGGTATTTGGGATTAAATTTTTTTTTATTCTTAATTTTGGAATTTGGAAGCAACATTTTTTGAATACAGTATTTGGGGTTAAAAATACATTCAGAAATTGTTTTTAATAAAGATTTTCATGATTTCATAAAATAAAAAATGTATTCAAATTTTGATTGAGTTATTTTTTTAATGCATTATTTGCCACGCTGCACATGAGTTGCATTACTTTACAACTAGATGGCAAAATTAATATTTTTATCCCGACTTTCAATTATTAAACACAATTTCATGCTTAAAATATGACACGCTCACTTCACAATATTTTTCCTAAAATTTAATTTTTCGAAATTGTCTCAAGTGTCATAGCCTTTGTTACTTACTGTTTGTTTTACTTTTCAATTAACATCAATTACATGCAGACATAAGTTAAATGTACTATGCAGAATTATATATTTGTATTGAATTATTTTTATATTTTATATGTGTTTATATGTTTGTGTGTATGCTTTTTTATACATATACATATGTATGTATGTAATTAGTATATATTAACAACTGATTTAATATAATATTGACTAAAAAACGGTTGTAATTTTTTTTTGTTAAATATTAAAAATATTAAAGTTAAAAAAACTAAAACTAATTTTTTCTTAATTTTTTTTCTATCCCACATCTTGTTCCTGTACATCCTAGTGGTGGGATGTACCAAAGGTATGTATGTATGTATTATATGTTATGGGTTAGTCTAAGTATTGCACTAGCTTCTTTATTAAATTGAAACATAACAATCAGCGGAAATGTATATATGTAGTTATGCATATATGTAAGTATGTGTGCATAAATGTTTATATATTTATGTGTGAAATGTAAATTGAACCTAAATTAAATTTTTTTTTAGCATAAACAACTAGTAGTTAAACCTATGCAATTACCATTCCACAGCTTGAATTTTATATTGTGGACGATTTTCGGCATTCGAAACCAGCACGCACAGATGCTTCACTTAGCCAGCAGCTTTAGCGGAATTCCACTTTCATCATTAGGACCATTATCCCAATCATTTACATTTTCCAAATTTCAATTACAGTACAATTTTGAACACACCCTATTATGTCAAAAAAAAAATACATGACATTCAGTTTATCATATGCGTCAATTAGCAGATTTTAACAAGCGAATTAGCCTATTTTTTATGCTTATGTTTTACATAGGATCTGATTTTTAAGCTTAAAAATCAAAAACACATATTTTGTTGACTGTTTGTTCTGTTTTTCACCATACAAAGGATTTAGTTTTATTAAGCTAATTTGAGGAAATCAAGAGAAATACAAGAACTTAAGTTAATAATAAAATAAAAAATGTAAATTAAAATAAAAAATAATATTATAAAAATGCAATTAAAAAATATTGAAAAATAAAAAATTTTTTTGAAAAAAAATCAAAATTAAAAATACGCAATTAAAAAAAAATTAAAAAAAAAATTAAAAAAAAAATTGCAATTAAAAAATATTATAATTATAAGATTCAATAATTTGAATTGAAAACAAAAAAAATATATAATTGAAAAAAAAAATTAAAATTAAAAAAATAAATTAAAATAAAATAAATAATAAGATTTAGAAATCAAAAGAATTAAAACAATAATTGAATGCAATACCATTAGTAACCACAAGTAGTTTAAAAACTAATATTTCTAATCTTTTTTTAAATTTTAAACTGAATTCTTTTTTAGCTATATTTCTCTATATCTAACAATTGAGTTATGCTCGTCTTATTTCGCAGCAAACAACAATCAGCGAAGACAAGCTAGTAAAAAAATACACTCATAATAACTGTAAATGATTAATCTTCTTGAAATGTACTTAAACAACAACTATTATAGAATGTCGGTATGTTGTACAGATAAAACTGTCAATTTACCGTAACTTGTGGTAATACATTGAGAAGCACTCACACTTAAGTAAAGTTTTTTTAATTTAATTATTATTAGTCTAAAGGAAGCTTTAGTTTGTCGCGGTGTCAAGTAACAGTCTGTAAAAACCAAAAAAAAATAAATTAAAAAATTAAAAAAAATTATATTTTTTAAATAAAAAAAAAAATTATATTTTTTAAAAAATAAAAAAAAATTATATTTTTTTAAAAATTATAAATAAAAAAATTATATTGTTTAAAAATTTATAAAACAAAAAAATTAATTTTTTTAAAATTTATAAAAATAAAATTATATTTTTTAAAAGTTTACAAAAAATAAATAAATTATATGTTTTAAAAATTTATAAAAACCAAAATTATAAAAAATATATAAACTAAAAAATTTAATTTTTTTTAAATTTATAAAAAAAATTATATCAAATATTTTTTTTTTATTTTTTTTTTTTAAAAGTTTATAAAAAAACTAAAGAAATTTAGTAATTTTTTTTTCCAAACAGCGCAGCGCAAAACCACCCACTACATCGGCGCATCTGCCGTTAATTTTCATTTCATATATTTGAGTGTTTATACGAATTCAGCATTAACAGTGGAGATCGCTCTTTTTTTCTTTACTCGCTTTTATGCTAAGTTAAAAAAACTTATATATGAACAACGCATTCAATATTTATAATACAAATAAACAAATAGCTAAATTATTGATATCATTCTTTAACAAATATGTAGTATTCGTATATGTGTTTTTGTTTTTGTTTTGTCAGTATAGTATACGCTTAAATTTAATAGTTTTTGCAAAATCTCTAGTTGGTTATCAAGTCGCCAAGACTATCTTTGAGTGATTGGAAAATTTGCAATTGCTGCTCCGGTTTCAAGTTATAAATCTGGCAGAGAGAATTGGAAATAATTTGTTATAAATATATAATACTACAAAAACAAAATAAAAATGTAACTCACCTGTGTCAATATCTTGGATGGTGCTGGCGTTCTAATAAAACTGGAAATGTAAACATTCACAAATGTGGCCATTAAGAATTGGCAATCGAAACGATCCATAATACCGCCATGTCCGGGTATCATATCACCGAAGTCCTGTGGAATAAATGTGAAAAAAAAACAACAATAATAATAAAAGAAAAAGCGTTAAATGCGGCTGCACCGAAGCTATAACAGCCTTCTCAGGGGCATCTTATATAGCATAAAAGGATATAAAAGAACTTTTTCTTGATTTTGATCGGTCAGTTTGTATGCCAACTATAATCTTTGGACAATTATACATGCCAAATTTCGTGAGGTTATCTTGTCAAATTAAAAAGTTTTCCATACAAGAACTTGATTTTGATCGGACATGACAGCTATATGCTATAATGGTTTCTTGGGTCTATATCTCAAAATCTGAGTGACTAGTTCGTATATATACAGAGAGACATGGCTAAATCGATTTAGCTCGTCACGCTGATTAGTTATATATATATTATATTTTATAAGAGAGACTATAGGAGACGTTTCCTTCTGGTTGTTACAAACATCGTGGTAAACTTAATATATTCTGTACAGGGTGCATAAAAATAATAAGTACGTCATTTGCATTCAATTACCTTTATCTTAAATGCACGCTTAAAGCCGGAAGCGAAGAAACCGCCAAACGGACCGATAATCGAGCTGAACAAACTCAATGCCACCGAATGCCATACAAATGGATATATACTAAGCGACTTGCCGATGCCAAACTGCAATTAGAGTATAGTTAAAATATTTATAGTTGTAAATATTGAGTTGTTGTAGCCTAAGACTGTTAACTCACCACACTTAGGCTATAATCTTGCTTCGTAAACAAATAACTTGGCTCACAAGCCATTGTCATGCGACCCAATTCCTCGGAATACAGTATTGGGCATACAAAATATTGATAATTGCAGAGAATGTAAGAGAAGATAATGCCAAAGATAACTGTCGCAAAACCACCACCAATAAATCCTTCCCATGTCTTCTTCGGACTTAATTTAATTAGTGGTGTACGACCGAAGAAGAAGCCAAACATGTAGGCCATTACATCGTTGCATACAATCATTGATACGGGCACAATGAACCAAATGAGACCTGAAAAGGGAAATGGAAATTTTTTGAAAATTATAATAAATGAATGAACGTGAGAAATGCATGCATGTAAATGAGTAAACCATCACAAAAATAAAATAGATAAAAATCTTAATAAATATATTTATGAAATGATAATCCCTTAAATGTTGTTGATATTGTTGTAGCAGTAGAAAATATTTCCCAAATAATTCAGAGGAATGCTGCCGCGTTGGCAGTCGCTTGCTGGTTAAGAATTAGGGTTCAAGCAACAACAATGTTCTGCCACTACAACAACAACAACAAATAAATAAATATATTAAATATTACAACGCCTTAAAATTAAAATGAGCTGCCCTTAAAGTATTTAAATTATATAAAATTTAAACTTTATAAATTAATTATGTATAAATTATTAAAAAAAAAAAAAAAAAAATTTAAATTAAATTTGACATTAAAATAACAGTATTTGACCAATTTTATATGGCATGGCTACATAATTTACTGGATTTGCTAAAAATATCCCTAAATCTATAAAAATACAAAATATAATAATTTAATTAAAAAACAAGTAAAAAAGTTAACTTCGGTTGGACCGAAGCTATAATACCCTTCACAAATACAAAAGGTTCCTTAGAAGAACTTGATTCCAATCATTCAGCTTGTATGACAGCAATATGCTACAGTGATCCGATCTGAACAATTTCTTCGGAGATTCCATTATGGCCTTAGATAATGATCCGTTCCAAATTTCATGAACATATCTCGTCAAATGAAAAAGTTTTTCATGCAAGCACTTGATTCCGATTGTTCAGTTTGTATGGCAGCTATATGCTATAGTGGTCGAAAATCGACCATTCCGACAAATGAGCAGCTTCTTGGAGAGAAAAGGTTATATGCTAAATTTAAGATGGATATCTCAAAAACTGACTAGACGGACGGACGGACAGACGGACATGGCTAAATCAACTCAGCTCATCATGATGATCATTTATGTACATATTTTATAGGGTCTCTGACGTTTCTTTCTGCAAAACTTCGTGGCAAACTTAATATACACTATTCTGGGTATAATCATGATAATAAATAAACTAATATGCAAAATGGCTAATACTGTTAGCAAAGCAAACATGCACACACCTTCGAAAATATTCTGTATGATCAAATAACTCTGTGTGACCACAATCAACAGCGAGACATGTGTCCAAGCGAAGAGACTGAACTGCTTCATATAATACTTTTTCACCAGCGACAACACAAACCAGACGAAACCAATGCAATACAGTGCAAACGATAGGAAACGATGATAGGTCACCAAGAATTTCAAATATTCCTGCATTACGTGATTGTTATTATATGTCATAGTTGTAGTTGTAGTTGCACATATGTGTTATCGGCAAATATAAAAATAGAAAATATTTTTAGTTAAAATTTTTTATATTGTATTTTGTTAATGACAAACGCCAGCGCTCTTACCACACGGTTAATAACTACGCCAAAATAGTCCACTAAATTTTCACCGTAGAAGAAGTAATTCGATGTCAATAGAAAATACCATGACAAACTACGGAACCAGGGTAGACCATGTATGCGATAGACTTGATAACCAATGGAAATGATTTCTTGGAAACACTTGACTTGTACCAGCAGAGTCTACAACCAAATTTAAAATAGAAAGCAAATTTTTATAATATAAACATAATATTAATGTTTTTTATAATATTCACATTTTTATAGTATAAATATTTGCGCAATTAATTACCGTTATCATAAGCGCCAGTGGGCCGCCATATATGATTAGTGCAAAACCGCATATCATAATCCAAGTGAAGATGCCACGAATCACATAATTCTTCCATCTAAAGTAGAGAAAAAAAGTGGTTTGTAGAAAAAGTTATTGTATTGCACATAAATAGAACGCTAGCGATTAAAATACCAATAATATGTGCGAAAACAAACAAACGCAAACATATGTACATAACTGTGTCTGCTTATTAACGTGTGTAATAGCGTCTATTCACGCGATTGCATGCGCAATCTATTTTACTTTTTTCTAATATTCACTGTAAGCAAAGCATGCTGATATGTGCCAGCTGTTGTTATTTTTTGCTTGTTGCGTTTCTAATATGTATAATTACCTATCCGGTAGATCTTTTAATGCTGAATCTAAAATTTCCGGTGTCTTATCAGTGCCTTGTGGAAGCGTTTTAGATAACTCATCTACGAACTTATCCTCCGGCAATTTTTCCTCCTCCGAATCAACCTGGTGGAAATGCAAAAAATACTTATTTAAATTATTCTATTTATCACACAGTAAATGCAAATTTTTTAATTTATGAATAAAAACCAGCTTTAATACACTTCACAGGTGTATTGCTTATAGCATAAAAGAGTATAAAAACACTTCTATCTTGATTATGATCGATCAGTTTGTATGGCAGCTATATGCTATAGTGGTCTGAACTGAACAATATGTTCGTAGATTGTACCGTTGGATTGGACAATAATCTATGCCAATTACGTTAAGATATCTTGTCAAATAAAAAAGTTTTCCTTACAACGACTGGATTATGATTTGTAAGTTTGTATGTCAGCTATATGCTATAGTGATCCGATCTGAATAATTTCTTCGGAGATTTTTGTGCTGCTTTGGGTAATTATCTATGCCAAATTAAATAAGGATATCTTTGCAATTAAATAAGATTTCCACATAACGACTTGATTTTGATAGGTCAGTTTGTATGACAGCCAGATGCTTATGTGGTCCGATATCGTCAATTCCGACAAATGAGTAGTTTCTTGTGGAGAAAAGGACGTGTGCATAATTTCAAATCGATATCTCAAAAACTGAGTGCGCGTATATAATGGCCGTTAGGTGGATATGGCTAAATCGACTCCGCCGTTTCCCTTTAGGTATTACCAACTTCGTAGCAAATTTAAACACCGTGTTCAGGTTATAAAAAGCAAATAAATCTTAATTATGAAGAGTCTATTTTTTGATTCAGTATCAGTGCTTTGTCATAGAATTATACGTTTTTCATTAATCGTCATATGCCCATAAAGTCGTGGATGTAAACGTGATAACTGCGATTCAAATTTAAAGCGAAAATTTGCTTTCCTGATTTGAATACAATAATGTATGTATGTTTGCATGTACGTGTATATTCATATAATTTGTATAAATAAACGGTCGCCGTTGGTGGAAAATGATTGCCACTAACAGAGTTATCAGTGAGAAGATGGAAAAATTAATTAACAGGCGTTATATATGTATGCCATTAGCCACAACAGCGCTGTAGACGAATGGAATGTGGCGACTTGATATTACACTGCGAATAACATTTTATATTGACTTAAGTAATGCAATTTTGCCGACAGCTTTAAAAATGCACAGAAGCAAACATATATTGTACATAGATATATGTGTATGACAGTGTGTAAAACGCATGCAGAGACGAGTTTACAAACACGATTTAGAATCCTAATATCGCAACATGACACCCGCACAGAAAGTAAAAATTAGCATCCAAATAGGATACCATAGAAATTTATCGCCTGTTCTGGCTTTATGTTGAGGTTGTGTATGCACAGAAATAAAGCAACAACTTATTTACTTGGTTTTATATGCGTGGGAGCTGACCCTAATGAATGAAATAATCAGGCATACATACATACCTATTTATTTATTATTGTTTATTCTGTGGCGACCTAACTTAGATACTTATATGTTACATTCCTATACCTTATGTTAATTTTTGAAATCACTGTGGCACTGGAAGTCCTTTGTTTTCGTTTGAGCATTTGCCATCATAAAAAAATTTCAAGCTTTGAAAAATTGATTGCAGTTCATTGCAGATATTTGCGCTTTGCTAATCTAAATGTTGGCGCAATCAAAACGTCATATACCCAGTATATACAAACAAGTATGCTAGAAATCATATATATATGCACATATGTATAAAATATATGTTTGTAACTAATGGCACGTGTATGTACACTACACTAATTGGATTCCCTTTGCTTTATGTGCTCGTAGATATACACATATATATTGCACTCTATTACAAAATATATTGACATCCCTCTATTTACATAAATTACATATGTATAAATGTGCATCTTCAAACAAGTGTCAGCTGATTCCTTATTTTATTTGTTACTTAAACTAAAGATTTTTACGGCCTCAGACCTTTCCCCTCTTTGGTGGACTTTTGACTGGCTAGCTTGAGTTTTGCAATTGTATGTACACCTATGTATATTTTTTATTCAAATAACATTCAGGAAAATAGTAAATTTGGTGACGACGTCGAAACGTTTTATGCTGGTCACATTTTTTCTTTAATTACAAATGCTCCTAATTATTAGCAGATAAGCAGACAACATAAATTAATTAATAACTGATGCGTTGTGTGTACAAGTGTACATGTTTGTATGTATTGCTTAAATACACAATTTTGTTTTGTTATCTTAAGGGGTATTTAAAGGCAGTGATTGGCGTTTTTCAAATCTCGAGATAAGTTTACACCTAATCTGATTAGTGGAACGCCTATAAATAAAAATTTTGATAACTATGATTTATTCAGGGTACATTTATAATGGAAAATGCAGAAAGAATACTTAATTTTCAATTTACTGTTTTGCCTTAGCTTCCCTACACTTGGGCACCACCTGTGAATTAAAAATGCATTCAAAGCCTATCCTATTACTTACATGATCAGATGAGTCCGCCGCTGAGTTACGTTTGTCACCTTCTCCTGCTTTCTCTCCAGCATCGTCACTAGCATCGTTCTCCCCTTTTCTACGTCGGACCTCAGCCATAGTTATGCCTCTACGTCAATGAACTAGTCAACGCAATTAATTTATGTATTTACTTTGACCGATTTTCACAATTAATTTTTCAAAGCACTGCTGGTTTTAAATTTTTCAATGTCGTCGTCGCTGATTTATATTGTATATTATGTATAGTATTAATTTCCAGCAATTTAATGATATATATTTGCACCAATTTAGTGCTAGAGCAATAAAATATGTATGTAGGTATGTTTATAGCAGTAAGTACGAGTATTGCGTGTTTTGGTCCGTCCACCACTAGAAACAAATTTTCACTGAAAAATTTTCTGTTTTTCTTTCATAAAATTTTTTTTGTCATATTTTTCGACGTTTGTGTATGGATTGCCTCATTTGCGCCGTCGCCACAGACAGTAGTATGTTTTTTATTCGTATGGTGGTTGATCTATGCTTGGCATATCTACGTCTCCAGTTGTGTTCACCTGGCACCACCACCTTTACTAGCGCCTTCACGGTAAATACAGATGCTTCCTAGCATCTACTTTTTACTTGCTTTTAAAGCTATACGTAGAATTATTTATTTTATAAAGTTGAATGAAATGCATTGCAACTAATTTAATACTTGATGATGCGCTTTTCACTTGTTTTTCGCCGCCACAACAAAAATTGCTTCCAAAATACAATGCAATGATTTTTCTAATCAATACAGAATACTAACAGAGTTGCCGGACTGGTGTAAATATTGATTTTCATAGTGATAACAAGCCCGAAATTCAGATATATGAATCATTGGCACACGTCATACAAGCGATACCTACTAATCAGTTAAACAACAACAACCTAAAACTGCTTTTAAATTCCATTGGTCACGATTGGAATCACTAAATTCACCTTTTTCCTTTCTGAACCATCTATCATATAGATAAAATATCCCCATAATTGATAAACATTTGATAGCATTGGTAAAATACATAATAATAAACAGCTATTTTGAGTGCATGCTGCAAAATGTTATCGATAACTTTATTACATGTTTGCATCAGAAATAATAATTAGTTACTTATGTTAATATGGCAATATTACCATTAAAACGAAATTGGCAGCACAGGTTGCAGCGTCTTTTTCTGTAGAGGGTTTATTGAATCACTCCGGTTTACCTCATTTTGTGTGCAAAAATAAAAAGTTATTGAATAATTTGGTGCAAATAAAAACGAAACAATAAATATAAAAATATTACAATGGCGGCTGCGTTAAATGGTGTGTTCCCGTCAACGCTACAGGAAAATGTGCAGAAATCAAAAATATTGGTGGTTGGCGCGGGTGGTATTGGTTGCGAGATACTAAAGAATTTAGTGCTTTCCGGCTTTCCTGATATCGAAATTGTAAGTTACTAGCAGATAAAATGTCAGTTAGAAAGTTTTAATAATTGCACTTTTTCATTAGATCGATTTAGATACCATTGACTTGAGCAATCTAAATCGCCAATTTTTGTTCCATCGTGAGCATGTGGGCAAATCCAAAGCACAGGTGGCACGCGAAAGCGCATTGCAGTTCAATCCAGATGTGAATATTAAAGCTTATCATGACAGCATTATGTCGTAAGTTTACACACCGATTTTAATTTTTGTACCGAATTTATTTGTTTTTGTTTAATTTCAGCACGGATTATGGTGTGAGTTTCTTCAAAAAGTTTGACATTGTGCTAAATGCTCTCGATAATCGTGCTGCGCGTAATCATGTCAATCGCATGTGCTTACATGCCGAAGTGCCACTGATTGAGAGTGGTACTGCTGGTTATAACGGACAAGTTGAATTGATCAAAAAAGGTCTAACACAGTGTTATGAATGCACACCAAAGGCGAAACAAAAGACATTTCCCGGTTGTACTATACGCAACACACCATCTGAACCCATTCATTGCATAGTTTGGGCTAAGCATCTTTTCAAGTAAGTCAAGTCTAAATAATCTAAACAAGTTAAGATAAATGTGCGTTTTTTTTTTTTAATTTTAGTCAATTATTCGGCGAAAGCGTGGAAGATGAGGATATATCGCCGGATATGGCCGATCCCGAAGCCAATACAGTAGACTCTGAAGAGAAAAGCGAAAATGAGGACAAAGAAGTCGCTAAAACCATACCGGAAACTGAAACGGGCAATGTTGCTCGCGTAAATACTCGACAATGGGCCAAAGATTCTAGCTATGATGCTGCTACACTATTTAACAAATTCTTCTTTGACGACATAAATTATTTGCTATCCATGTCAAACCTTTGGAAAGAACGTAAGGCACCAACACCTTTGAAATGGGATAATGTACTGATCAAACAGGATAATGGCGTAGGGGTAACTGCTGAAGCCCTGAAAGATACTACAAAACATTATCATAAAGTGTGGTCGCTAGCTGAATGTGCCACTGTGTTTGGAGATTGTTTGAAGAAATTAAGTACAAGCTTTTTAAATCTAGATGATGGCGAGTCACTGGTATGGGATAAAGATGATCAGCCGGCAATGGATTTTGTGGCTGCTTGTGCAAATATACGTGCTTATATTTTCGAAATTGGGCGCAAATCACGTTTCGAAGTAAAAAGCATGGCCGGCAATATTATACCAGCTATAGCTACAACCAATGCAATAACAGCCGGTGTTGTGGTCTTGCAGACTTTCAAGGTATTGCAAGGTCAACTCGATAAATGCAAGTCGGTGTATATGCGTTTAAGACAGAATCCACGTCAGCAACTGTTGGTACCGGAAAAGTTCCTTACAGCACCGAATCCAAACTGTATAGTGTGCTCTTCAGAACCTGCCGTGCATATACGTATTGACACTAAACGCATGCGCATAAAGGACTTTCGTGATGATGTTCTCATTAAAACTCTTAATATGGTTAACCCCGATGTCGTAGAGCCGAATAAGGGTATTGTGGTTATATCATCGGAAGAAGGTGAAACAGAGTGTAATGAGGAGAAGCTCATGTCGGAAATGGGTATCGTCGATGGTGTAGTACTCAAATGTGATGATTTCTTCCAAAACTATGAACTTGAAGTTATTGTAATACATTTTGATGCCGAACGTGATGAGTCGTTATTCGAAGTAGCCTCGGATAGCAGTCAAATAAAGCAAAAGGATAGTGAACCAGTTTTGAAAGAAAGTAATGGCAAACAAGCAGCTAAACAAACTGAAGAAGATGACAGTGCAGATGGTCCATCTACATCCAAAAAGAGTCGGGTGGCCGAAGTCGTGGACGATGATGATGATTTATGTTTAATAGAGGATGATGAAGACGGTAATGCAGAGGAAAATGTTGTTGCGGCGACCGACAAATTGTCTGTTACCAGTCCCGTTAAGGAGTCACCACCGCCACTTCAACGTAGTATTAAACGCAAACCGTCTGAAACGATTGTTGAAGACATTACCGAAATTAAAGATTCGGACGATGAAGAAGATGATGGCCCAACGCAAATTAAACGTATGCGTTCTGATACCAGCAATGTTTTCTCAAATGAAGTTATAAATATTGATTGAACAATTTACAATAAACATTCATATTCATTATATTGCGAAAAATCGGAAGTGTTTTATATTCATGAAGTATTGTATTATTAATTTTTAAGTCAAATAAATTTATTTATAGTCATTCTTATTATAATTCTTAACATCAACAATTAAAACGTCACCCGTACATGTGATGTTTTTTTTTTTAAACAGTCTAGACTCTACATTCCATTAAAGCATACAATATCTAGCACGGTAAGAAAATATCTTTAAGTTGAAAGTGATTACAACGATTCCTTAAGATACACACACACACATATATCCACGTTAAATTAAAATTTGGCATTATCATCTATAATTAAATATGTATCTATATGTTTACAATTAACTGTATTCCTCATCTGTAAAAAGATAAGTGTAGCTTAGCACCTTTTCCGGTGTTTCAGCAGTATCACAATAGTAGCTACGCGGTGTCGGTATGCGCTGTAAGCTCAATGATGATGGCTTTTCATTTAAGCCGGCGTCGCAGCCGATGGTAGATATAGGCTTTGGTTCAACGACACGATAAAAGTTACAACGTCGATTACCATATATGGGAATATCTGCTTCATAGGGAGGACTAAGTATATCGAAAAATGCTGCCATGCCACCAACGGCGGTAATTTCATGATAATTGCGTTCAGTGGGTGTTAGCGTTGCGCATTCTGTACTCGAACTGACGAATTTCGGTTCATTTGCTTTAACACAAACCTCCAAAGCCTTGGGGTCATACAGCGGTTCATTTGGTTTTAATGGTTGTTTGGTATAACTTTGCACCTTTAGCTTTCCGTAAATACCGCGTAAAAGTCCATGCATACACGGATGATCATGCAGCGGCATTGTATAACCTTCACGCATCACAAATACACTCATGGATACAACATCATTTTCCAAAATATGCACATACGTGCATGGTGCTCGTCCAGGTTTCTTGAATAATGTTTCGAATTCTTGTGGCTCAAACTGTATGTCCAAATATGTTAATAGCTCCGTTAGTTGCTTAAGCATAGCGAAATTCGTATTGAAAGACAATTTATTGGATTGATCGAATGTTTTGAATGCTTGTCGCAAGATTTTTAATAACAACATAGACATTTTTAAAGCACTTAGTTGTTAGTTATAGCAAGGATGAAATGATGTGAGACTCTTTGAATCGAGAGAGAGCTGTCAAAGCCCACATTTTTTATAACATTTGCCAATCATGCCACTGTCGAAAGAAAATGGATTGGGTATTATAAAAAAAACTTTTGGGTATTTTGTATTTCAATATTATTTTTAGGTGCTCCGTCCCCGAGTAGGCCTTTATAACGCATATACATCCCTATATACGTATATTTATATTATAAAATTTTTTAAAGATCATATAACATAAAAAAAATTGCATATAAATAAAAAAAAATTATAACAAAGAAACAAAACAAGTCATAATAGAAGATCATGGTTTTATAATGAACGTTTTAAATTAAATTAGCAAATAAAATTTAGTTGCAGGTTATTCAAATGTATTTGTGTCGTTCCTTGAAATTTCGTTTCCCACTGCTTTGTTAGCTATGTTTAGCTGGTTTATTTCTGGCATCCCGCCTTTTTTGACATCAGCTGTTCGAAATTCCCTGATTTTAATAATCAGGGAAAGAGAATAACAGAAAAATCAGCGAAAATGAGAGAGTCTCGCATCATGTCATCCTTGGTTATAGTCCAAGTGAATCAAAAGTTTTCGCACTAATAAATAATGGTCGTGATTTTTTCAATATGTCAAAAATGAACATCTGTTCAATGTTGTGGTTACTTTCAGTGATGCCACTCGAATTAAATGTATAGAGATGTCACCTTGGGTCCTAATAATTAACTTGATAATATTTCACGATATTTTTATGAAATACTGGTTTACTGAAATTTATCGATTTCGGTTTTAGGGTGTTCAGAACTCAGTGTAAACAAAGATATAAATTTTGATATACCTATACAAATTTTTATATGCTGAGCAGGGTGTATTGAGTTTGCCACAAATTTTGTAACACCAAAAATAAAACGCTGCATACCCTATAAAATACATATAACTCTGGAATAGTTGACGACAATTATTATACTTTTGACAAATTTCTAGTGGATCAGTTATTTAAATGATTATCCGACAAACAGGCCAGAAGCGACTTCCTTGGAAAAGTGAGGTTAAGGCGAAACGTATACCGAACTTCTTTGTCTCCAAAATCGAAGTTTTAGACTACAAATTTCGTTTAATTTTTATTTATTTCATTTATTTTGAATAATTCCCATACCACTTTGCGAACTCTACAATTAATGTTTGATCGTGAAAGGTGATAGTCCCAAATAAAATTCGTGACAATTCCGATACCATAAGACCGGCAGTCGAGGAAATTGTCGGACTCTTCCTCAGAGGATCTTCCGCTGGGATGGTGACAAATCAGCGTGTGTACCAATCACCTTTAGCCGACCGCCGCGTTAACGGATCTCCTTTAGGCTACGTGATCACTTCCTCGTAAAAAAATAAGCTGGTTGACCGGAACTGTGACCGTTCTGTATGTATGTAGCAAACTGTACATATCTCTATTCACGTGTATTGTACATATGTATGTATATTATATATTGCCATGTCCGCCATGTTACTGTTGTCGAAAAACATGTTCTCAAATCTTTGGCAAAGTTGTTGACTCGACAATTCAATGCCGGAGGCATTAGCTAATCCTCAAACAAGCAATGTCATTAAAACACGATCATGGGTGTAAATATAAACGAACAGGGGCGTATGTATATATATCAACGAAAGAAGTACGAGAAGCTTGTATGGTACAATTATATACCATAAAATGAACTTGAATTTTTTCTTTGATAGTTAGGCCAATTAATAGTGTGACAAGCTTTTAAATGGACGTTTTTAATGAAATCTCAAATACTTTAAAGTATTTGCAAGTTAATTAGATGTTCTTAAGTTATGACACAGAAGACTCCAAAGCTCGAAGAAAGGATACATAGTAGCATACCTATGTTCTTCTGTTAAGTGGGTGATATTTGGAGTTACTATGATGGAGAATCTCTAGTTGTGCAATATATTATATATAAACAATATTGAATTATAACAACATTGAAAGGTCTAATTATCAAATGTTCTCCACAATTTTACCCTTGCTAGTGTTACTTCATGACGTCATTTCCAGCTGTTATACTTCTTTTACTAAATAGTCGTAAAGGGTTCGAAGAATCGGTTTCTTGTAGCTCTGTCTTTGATTTGACTCTAAGATAAATGCTGTATAGGCTTAGTTGACGATCTCGATATCTGAGATATCTTTGCTGGAGTTTGCAGCAGTCGTATGTATAATCAAGACGGTTTCATCTTTAGTTTCTCGACGCTCGAAAGTTAGTTTGTCATTCTTTACGCCAAGTGATCATTAGTGTGTCTCCTGTGATCCTCCCCTCCAGAGTAGCTACAACTCGGGCGAAGGCAATTTGCGATGACTTCATGATCTTCATTGAACGCTTTGCGCTACTCAAATACTCGTGTTTGTGATAAAGTAGTGTTCCAAAACAAGTCTGCAACATTGACTCCATGTCATGATTAAAAATCGCGAAACGAACTTTTCGCGTTGTAAACAAACAGCTGTATATATATAATTCAGATATAATATAATATTCAATATGTGTACATCTGAATTAGATGTGGATGTTTTCATACACAATAAGTATAAATCAAAGAGCTGACACTGACTTTAACCTTAGTTCATGTCATGGTAATATTTTTTTAAATTATAAATACGTATCTACATATACAATAATATGTATGTATATGTTTCCGAGCGATTTGCATCGTTATAGTTCTTAAACATGCTCCATTAACAGCAGTTACATATTTCCATAACGGTGGGTAGCAAGAGTTTAATGAGCTAAAACTGTCTCGGTTAATGTTTCGAGATTATGAATTAAACAGTTAAATTAAAATTTGCGATATATTACATATGTACATATGTATGTATGTGCACATGTGGTGATTTATATCTTTCAAACATTAATTACATGAATTTTCCATTAATTTGATGAATGTTCCGATGATTGAATTAAGAATTATGCAATCAGTTCAAGCTTGAGCTAGCTAGGTGGCTACAAACTTCTTATTTACTATATGTAGATCATTAATATGAGCTTGGAGTCAAGGTAACCGAAGCTTTTAAGTAAACTGTCACAGCTAACTGCTGTGAGTATGTGGTAGGTTCCAATCTCGAATCGAGCCATGTTTTAACTATGTAGAGAGCCTTTTTTCCACCCGAGTTCATAAGAGAGTTAATAATCCGATTATGTTTCCGAAAGGTGATTGTTTTAAAAATAAACAATCGGAAAATATGAATAGACCAAGTTCAGTGTTGCTTTTGGGTTGGCGAGAGGGTTTAAGTAGTCAAAACGTTTAGTACATTAAGAAGAAGAGGTAGTAAACTCTAGGAAAAAAGAATATAAATGTTACACAAAATTTAATAACAATATTCAAAAGCATTCGAGTATATTTGTATATATCTCTGGGTAAATTTATATTTTTCCATGAATTTTGTTTACATTTTTATTAATTTGTAACATATTAAGAAAAACGCTTATAATTGAGCTTAATTAAGCAATTGTTTAATTTGTCAATATAGATTGAAATCTTTACAAGTAAAATACGCCGTCGGCATTTTTACCTCACATTTCACACACGGCTTTTATAAAGAAAATTTTTGTTTTGAAATTTACATTTCCGGTTAAATAAAATGCAACGGTATTTATTTTATTAACAATTTGTTATACATCTGTTTTTATGGTATTCAATTATTGGACCTTCGTAGGTGACATTAACTCGAACTTTTGATTGTAAACTGCGCAAAATGCCTCCACATAACCTTAAAAGAAAAAGCTTTTTGCGATTCTAATAAATTATTTCAATTAAAACTCAAAATAAAAGCTGCAATTATGAACTGTCAATTAATAATAGTTATGAAATATTTCCTGAAAATTGTGCAATTAATGCGCAATTAACACTTAAGTCCCCATAATTACAATAATAATGATAAAGCAATTTTTCGACAGCGAAGAATTGTTCAAAAATTCAAAGTAAATAAAAATCGTTGCTAATAACCTACACATTTGGCGAATGTTGATTATAAAAACTCATTAATGGATTGATCCAAAAGCTTATTTTGCGATGCACACATTATTGTCGGCGGGTGGGTGGTTCTGCAGTTTAGATAAAAAATTGATAAACTTGTGTAAAAACCAAACCTGTTTGCTACTTAATGTTATTGTCACTTAATTTTGAAATTCTGTGAGAGTTTATTGAATTGCGTAAACAATTGACAAGTCGAGTGTTGGCCAAAAATTGGAAATGTATAAAAAAGTACGTAGCTCAAAAAATCCAATAGGGATATTGTAAAAATTAATGGAAGCTTAAAGTTTTTTTTTTTAAATTTCGTTTGTCAAGTCAGGTTAGGTTATAGGGCTAATACTGCTACCAAAGGTAAAACAGCATCCCGCATGCACAGCTGTGAACGCTGATTATGTGTGATTCTCAAAACTCTTAGATATCATGGAAGCGGTTTTCGGAACTCTTTTGTAAGGCTCATCCAAACCGACATACGACATACGTTGTAACTCGTTAAACTATTTTTTTATTGTCACCTACAAAGGAGAAGAGTCTCCATATAAAGCATTCAAGCGCTCTTTGATACTTTTCTACGCGATTTCCCTTCCAAAAACCAGAACCAAATCACCAACCCATATTGTTTTTAGCCATTTTTCTAAAATCAGGGAACATGATCTTTCCCACATGCATTCAAAACAAAACTACGACTCTACTTCGGTTGAAATTTTCACAGTAATCGTCTCCGAGAATCTTGTAGTACCGGTATGAAGTGAGCGTTAAGATACAAATGTAAATTTGCAAACAACACTTGTTGTCAACGAGCTTTACTTTTTCTGTTTGGTTCGCATAACATCTGTCAAACATATTCAATAACCTTACAGTTATTCAACAAACAACATCATATATTTTCATTGTGTTGAAAATATCAATTTTTATAACGGAAAGTGGTAATTAGCGGAAAGCATTAATTTTTGGTTTCCATTTGAAGAAAAGTGCTGCAGAGTCGCATCGGATGCTTGTGGGGATCATGCTCTCTTAGAAGCAATAAGAAAAAGATGGTTTCAACAGTTCAAAGATAATGATATTGATGTGAGAAATGAAGAACGTGGAAGAATTGGATGAAGATGATCATTTGAGTCAAAAGCAAATGGAGGTCATGTTAACTGTTGCACAAAAAACAATTTCAAACTGTTTGAAAGCTATGGAAAAGATACAAAAGTGTGGAAAATTTTGCTTCAAAGACACGAAAGAAGCTGGTGAGCTTCTAAAACCTGAACCATGCATTGTTCGAAAAATGACCAGAATGGTCCAGAAGACACGCCAAAGTAATTTTGTTACACGACAATGCACCTGCACACAAAGCAAAATCGGTTCAGGATACCATCAAATTACTTGGCTGGGAGCTGCTACACCACCCGCCGTATTCACCAGACTTGACACCTTCCGATTACCATTTCTTTTCATCGATGGAACACGCATTGGCTAAGCAACACTTCGATTTCTACGCTGTAGTCAAAAATTGTCTGGTTGATTGGTTTACTTCAAGAGATGAACATGTCGATTGGCATGTTTCCACAAATTGACAGAAAGGTGGTCAGAATGTGTAAAAAGCAATGGTAAATACTTTGATCACATTTTTTTACTTTCCCATTCAAAATTAGTATTTCATTTTCACAAAAAAACGCTCATTTCATATATCGGTACACCTGGTATACTAAATGATAGTAAATTTAGCTTGCTTCTATTCATACCAACGTGTGGCGAGTATAAGTACTTTTCGGTTCGCCCTCATATTCGTTGGAAAACATCAAGACGTTCGGTCATATATTGTATTTAGCAAAGGTGTGTTTAAATATGAATTGCTAAGTGCGCATTATTTGTCTAACGAAGCGTGTTTGTAATAGATTACTTATGTTACAGTGTCCCTGGTGTTGACAATTTGATTTAACCGATTTGTTACACTTCATTGAGCGCAGAACGCGCAAATATCTTTATATATACCTACATATTTATAGGGCTGTATGTATTATATATCTTTATATAGTTCTCAATTGATTGTTTAATTATCTTGGAGACATAAATCGCTGAGTGCACAAAGCAAAACATCGCATTAGTATTATAAGCAAATTAAAAAGTGACAAATCAAAAAATTGCAAAATGTATTTACAAACCAAGTAAAAAACAAAAAAAAAAAATTAAATACAAAAAGCAACAAATGTACAGAAAATCAATAATGATACATTAACCAAAGTTGTCAAGGTACTTAGACTGCCATAAAAGCAATTTGATTTTCTACTCAAATGAATATCAGCCAACCTGCCACAAAATGCCATTTAAAAAGTTAACCGCAAACTCATTAGCGCCCTATAGACTCTGTGCATACTTGTATGTATAGGCATAAAAATACAAGACATGTGTTGACAAGTTGATTTTTGTTGTTTGTCATTTGAGTTTCTGGTTACAAGTTATGGGTCTCTTATTGTGACTTAAGTATGCATTATTATAATAACTAAAGACCTTAGATAGTGCCGACTTTTGGGGTGCTATATAGACTGATCCGCGGTGCTGTTTGTATGTGTGTATGTTTTCAAGTTTAACAATTCAATTTCTCTATTAGAAAATTTATAGCAAATTACGTTGATAAAGCGTTTAGATTACTTTACTTTGGGTAACCACAAAATTTTCCCACAATGCGCATAACCTATAAAGCAATTCATTTAGCATAATGTCAGCGCGTGGGAAATTCTAGTAGTTTAAAGAATTAAAAAGCTATAATTATCACTTTTAGGGGTAAAAATCGCTTCGCTAAGGCATCCCTTGTCCAAAACCAGTTGTCATTTATATGTAAATAAAATGAATCAAAAAAATAATAAATTTCTTAGCTAGTTATGTTTAAAATATTCTAATTACTTTTATTCGTACATTCTATTAAAATACAAATATATATTTTCTTTACTATTGCTATAAAAAATTAGAGAATAATCGGCGTTGTCGCTGACGTCCTGGAAGACGATGCCGGAACTAACCTCTCAAAGAAGAGTAAGACATTTTTTTTCCTATCGTTAATGATTGTGTACAAAATTTCAAAGATTTTGTCGAAAGGACCTTGGTTCTTTACCGAATTGTAAGTCTGGTCAAAATATGAGAATTACTATTTCTATATTCTAAATCTTCAAAAGAAACATATTATACAAACAAGCGCTGCTATGCGCGAAAATACCCGAGGATAAGCGATCGATCCGCATTACTTTAAGTTAACTTTAAAGTGATGGGAAATATGTTGTTTTACGATTACTAACAAAGCAGGGTTTCAGACTTTTATTAGTACAACAAGGTTGATATTGACATTAAGGGTGTAAAAAGTTGCAGTTAAGTTTCCAATTTGTGTTTATGAAATAAAAATCTGATAAAGTTTTTGGTTATGAACTCAAGGACATTGAAAAAATTCAGAGTACATGGAATTAAAAAATAGTGCTATTTGTTATTTAATATTATGGAAATCGTTGCAGTTAAGCATTTAGATTAGCGAAGTTCCGTCTTATTAGTGTCTCTCTCTGCTCTGATGTAATATAGTAACTGAGGGTTATAAGAGCATTTGTTTAATCTGTTACATTTACAGAGTTATATATTTGTATTTATATGTTCATTCATTCATTCAACAAAAACTTTTTGGAAATTTCCTATCTGGTCGGCAGATTTTTTGTTTCGTGCATATTGTTTAATACTTTCAATTAACACCATTTTTTATAAATATTTTATTTATTGTATTTTTAGCAATTCATCATACATTTTTAAACATTTTTCAAAATATTCTTTGCAAACAAATGGATTTTTCCCAATTTTATGTGCTGGAAGAATGCACATTCATTGATTTTTTCCATTTTTGCAAAACTGAAGTGTCACTGCTGAATGAGTTTGATGTAATTCGTCAAATAAATTTGTAAGTAAAGCTCATTGATGCAAACACAATTTGGATATTCATGTGTTGTTCACACCGACAACGATTGATGGAACTCATTAACACAACTAATTAATTTCCGGCAATAACAGTGTTCAGCAATGAACTTTTTGACATTTTTCATTTTCAATCATCACTGATAAGGTTTATTTTAAAAGTATTATTAATTTACTTCTGCTTTAGAAAATGTTCTATTCTGTTCCTTATATAATATTATTTCATTTTACAAAAGCGAAAACTAACTTCGATGAATATATTGCAATAAAACAAATAGTATCTCCATTGTACTTCATCTTAAAGTGATCGAATTCGGACTGTTGAAGTTGCCAGATGTCGGATATGAGGACCTCAGCGTTTTTGTCTGACATTTTACACCGAAAATCTTAATGAAATGCAGACAGCTTCTTTCTCTGACAATAGTACGCACTGCTACCAAAAATTGATAAAATCGGTTCAATACTATCCCTAGCTCCCATATACCTAATATGTATATACAATAAAAACTTCCGGTTCGTTTTAGATCGGTATCGGTATTTTTGGTTCATTATTTTCACAGTAAAAATTTGATGAATACGCAGATTTCTGTAAGGGTTAATTTTAAAATGGATTATGTTATGGGTCATAATTTTATTGTACATCTGATCTGCAAATAAACCTTTTGAAGCTTTTTAACTTGGCAAACATATCAACGCTCACTCTTTCGGGATCTACAATATTTCTCTTTATACTCTCACAAAATAGAAAGAAACATGTAATTTTTATCAGCTTTTAAGTAGCGAATGTTAAAAAGATGTTCGGAAGAATGTACAAAAAGTAGCAAGAGCACATCACTGCTACGAAGTGAGCAGTCGAGACGATTGGGATAGGAGCCGAGTCGTCCAACCAAGTGGTTTCCGGCGTGCACTCACCTATTTGTCGATATAGCTGTGTGCGTGTGTGTTTGCGTGCAGATGCTTGTCTGTACGATGAGGCAGCGCCAGCGTAGCGCGCGTCGTTCAACGACAATTTTGCGCCGAAAAAGACTTGGAGCTGATGCGATCACCAACAAACGCTCAGTGTTGCTCGTGTCGCCAAAGCGCCTTGTCACGCTACGTCGTTGTTGTTTCTTAAGTGTCGCTAACGATTATTTCTGCATTACATTCATTACGTTTTGTAAGCATTTAACAGGGATTAAGTGTGTTTTATAATTTAATAAATACAATGAAATGAAAATTATATATATTTATTAAGTGAAAGTGTGTGGAGAAAATTATGAAAGCGTTTATAAACGAATTGTGAACAATGAGAGATTAAAAATAATTAAAAAAAAATAAATCCATTTAAAAAATTATAACAAACAATAAAAAAAGAAAAATTAAAAACTACAAATATCATAACAAATGTCGAATATTTTCAAAATGTTTTTATAAAAATTACATTAAAAAAATTAAAAAATTATGTGTCAAATAACATTAAAATTTTTTTTTTTAGTTTGAATATTTTCGAAATTATTTTTATTGAAAATTAAACAAAAAACCAGAAAATTAGATTCGAAACCCTGTATATAATATCATAAAAAAATTAATTTAGAAAAACTTGAATATTTGCAATATTATTCTTCATGAAGATTGAACCAAAAACAATAAATGAAAAGATTTGTGCTACGAACAAAAACTAAAAAGATGTTCAAAGCAACTAAATTGAACATTTTCGTCAAAAGTCCAACAAAAAAAAGTATTTTAGTTTAATAATTTTGAATATATTTTAATTAATTTGAAACTTTTGTAAAAATTAAATAATGAAAAAGCATATTCAAAAATTGTCATACCAAAATGAACTGCAAAACTAAAAAAAATTGATTATCTATATACATACTGTATTTGAAATGCATACATTTATAGAGTACAAAAATATTGATTTAAAATTTTCTGAATTTTTCGGTATCAATTCGAAGTTTTTACTGAATAATTTCGAAAAAAAATTAGAAATTGTCAGTAAAAAATATTCCACTTCGTCAAAAAAATAAAAATGCTTTAAGTGTGCTGCAAATTATGGAAAAATGATACTAAAAACGTCTACTACTTAAACAGATATGCTCAAATAACAAAAACAACAACTATAGCATCTTATTTACAGTGATGCTCATTATATTGTAACTGATTAGAAATTCATATTTCTCGTTGCACTTGAAATGCTTGTCTCCGTTAAGTTTGTGTATGAATTAATTGTAGCTTCAAGGTTGTGGGCGTTGCAATTAACATATGTATGGGCAATTTGATGTCTAATATGTTCATATGCGTTGGCTATGATATGGTTGCACATATTCGAAGCACACGGCAGACACAATATTTATTGTAAATAACTTTGCTGAGATGTGTTTGTTAAAGATTCTTGTAAAATCAACTTCTGTGTCTTGGAGGAAGTTCGAAGAGTAACTGAGAATATGAATTTCCATAATATAAATATTCATAAGAAGAAATAAAAATATTTCATATATTATAGTCGTTCAAATCAGTCAGTCCAGAGATATGTTTAACTACATGGAAAATTTCAGTCAGTTATCATAGTTTATCTCCATATTTTAACTCACCAGTTGAAACAAACATTATGGTGCTATAGCTTCTGCTTCTGGTATTTCTAAGCATCAAAGTCAAACCAGGGTAATACCTTTTGACGTTCAAGCAAGGTTTTAAAAAGAATTATTATGAACACATAATATAATTATAGTAAAATGAAATCCATTGTTTGTGCAAACATTTTTTTAATTCTTATTGTTAAAATGATCCGATTAAGAGCAAATATGCACCGTTTTGTTCCATAACTTGTTACCATTTCGAAGGTAATTTCAAAATGCCACTCCCATAAAACCTTCGTTCTTATTAGAAAAAACCGGGTTAGTTGATTTTCATATGCTTCTTTTGAAACGAATTTTTTTCTATAGACAGGAACAAGTTGTAATCACTTGGTGCCAGGTCCGAACTATGGTATAAGGTAGATGCATAAGAATGTCCAAGCTAAGCTCCCGGAGCTACTGGCGAGTCACTATTGATATGTGCGGCCTGGCGTTCTTCTGATAGAATACAATTCCTCTCCCATAGGCCATTGTTGGCCACTTCTGGACGGTTACTTTCTTCAACTCCTTCTTTCTGACCATTAATCCAGGTTTGGTCACCCTTTTCATCACCATAAACTATACGATTTAGAAAGGGATCGATTATGCTTCGCTTCAGTGACGTTTTTCAGAGAGGAATTCGGTCCAAGAGTTGTTTTGCTTTAACTCGTTTTACATTATCGTGTTTTTTTGTATCCAAAATTATTTAATTTGACTTATTAGTTTCTAAAAATTTCGGATGTTCATTTCAGGTTGCTTTCTTCGTAAAATCAAGCTGATATTATTTTTAACTCCGCCTTGTTTGATAGTAGATAATATTGTAAATTTGATCTAAGGTAGATATTCTCCGCATATCAATTGGGTAATAAAATAGTATATTTGAAAATAATTTGGGCATAATTTATAGTCTCAATAATTTCCTGCCTTGCTGATAGAATTTTGAAAACAAAATATCTATCAAAAGAATAAAATAGCAAATCGAAAAAAATTTGTAATTTTCGATCGTTTGATCTTAACACTTTCCTCTCTTTTCTTCTACTCTATTTTCACATCATTACTAATTAATATTGTCTTACGTCAATTCTGCATAGTCAGCAAGCCATAAAATAGTCATAAAATAAATTTTCGAACAAATTAATGAGTTTAAGCATCAACCAAAATGTTCTAGAAATTTTTCAAAAAATTTCCTAGTTTCTTTTTCGACTATTAAAAAATTTTACCCACGATAAATTGGGCACGATTTTTTATACTACAATATTTTAGCTGCTGTTTATTGATATTTCCTGAAATTGATTTTTAAATTAAACTTAAAAAAAATATAGTTTTGCCAAAATATTCTAAAATTTAAAATTGAATTTAGTACAATTTAAAAATCCTTTTTTGTTCTGATCTTACCATAAATTTATAGTATGTCATGTCATGATTTTCAAAGAATGCGCCAAAATGTAAGCAAAATGCTCTATTTAATTTGTATTTAGATCCCGTGCAATACAATACGTCACAGAAAAATTAAAAGTACTCTATTCTTCCTCTTCTATATTTATAGTTTGTCTTGTGTAGGCTTTCACGGTTTGCAAGCAATGAGCCAAAATGTAGGCAACATTTTCTACAATATATTAATATTTGTTGTTACATCTCAAGCAATATAATACAATACATCACAAAATAATTAAGAACGCCTCTCTATAAATAATTCAATATTATAGATTTTTTATGTGATCCATATATTTACAGTCAGTCTTGTCTAAGCTTTTATGATTTACAAAAAATGCGCCAAAATGTAGGCAACATTTTCTTTATAATTTGTATTTAGATCTCAAGCAATACATTAAAAAAAAATAAAGATATCTTAATATCAAAGCGAATGTCTAAGTAAGTTCCAAATATATAAACGGTATATTACAATACGATTGGAAATGGAAAGTCTTTTGTATGATTTTTCGTATTAATATTTATTATCTCTCAATAACATTAATCAAAAATGGTTACATTTAATCCATATTTGATTACACTTTTTTCATAAACCTTGGCCATGATATTCCTTAGTTTCCTCAGCAAATTTTTCTTAAAGTCGCAACTATATTGATCACTATCTCTTTAGCGAATTCGATTCAAAAACTTTATTCATTTGGTGAATTCTGAAGATCACTTAGAATTCGACCTGAATGCTTACATTTTTATTTCCCTCAAATGCTTAGATTTTGACAAACTATTAATTCCACTCTTGGAATAATTGTTAAAAGCTTTTTTATGAGACATAAGTTTCATTTGTAATAATATCTCAGTGTAGCCTTAATTCCACACAATTTGCTATACCCTGCGACCTCATATTTAAATAACTTATTTTAAGTTTATGATTTCTGACTCTTCACTAAGGTTTGCTATTAATAAAAGTTGTTCGTAAACATTATAAAATAGCTTCGCTGCAATATAATTGTAAGTCAGTACACAATTATTGAAGCAATGCAATAAAAAAACAACAAAAATAATTACTAAAACTAAGCAATAAAATATTTACTTTATGTTATGCCGTGTTATGCTGCGTACATATTTATGCACATAATAAAGTACAAGTTCAGTCGCATTGATAAAAATCGATGCGGAGCAATTCAAGCATATTAATCGTTCGTTCGATGCATAGCTCTTCAACTGATGCCTTCTCGAAAAAAAATTAAATAAAATCAAAAAAAAATAAAAAATCAGTAAAAGGCCGACGACCATTTTGCTTTTTGCCATCTGCCGGCCCTGTACTATATATGCCTTCGACCTAAAATGCGCGCCACCTGCGCTTCTCAGCGATATTTTTTTTGCCATCGTTTGCCAATAAACAGCCAAATTGGCGCGCTGACAGCCCGTGAGCGCTTCGCTGTCTCGTCGCCTCGTTGCATTCGGTGCAGTGGCATACTTTGATTTTGATGGTCAGCAAGTTGCGCTCTAGTTTACGGTAATTTATGACATACATAATCGTATACAATCTTTTATTGCATACATATATTATTACAAGTGCATTACGGTGCATTCATTGCATATTATGTGTATGTGTGATGTCATTACATAGCTGCTAATGCTCCTTTTTCGACTGTTGTTGGTGGCATCAATAAATTTGACAAAGTCATCAAATGTTTTGGACAAGTACACAAGTAATTAATTTGCCAGTAAATCATTGTATTAATTCGTTAATTAGCACATAAATGCTGATATTTGATGCCAACGAGTGTGTATAAAAGCATATGTTTTTGTGTTTATTTCGAATTTTTTTCGGTATTTTACAACTATGTTGATAGTTTATGATGGTAAATAGCAGTTTGAGTGACTAAAATTCGTTCTAATTAAAAGTTTTCCTTTACATTTAGTTAAGAAAAATTTGCATTTATTGAAGAAGTCTCCTTGACACCTTAGCTTAAGCAGCAGTATAATGATTTATTACTATATTTTTATTATATCTAACGACTATATAAAATTTCAAGTTCGAAGAATGCAGCAGATTTATTTTGCAAAGCATTTGTAGAACAAATAAATTCGAGGCATTACAAATGAAAACGGCATAATTGAATATTGCTTTACTATACGAAAGACTTAAGACACAAACTTCATTGTGTTAGTAACGCAGTTTTCTTTGATAGCCAAAGTATAAAGGAAAATTACATTCAAAGTTAATTTCATAGAAAAAAAATATTTTTTTTAAGAAAAAAAACTTTTTTTTTTTACTTTTTCATTTTTTTAACTTGTAAAAAAAAATAATTTCTGAAAAATATTTTATATTTGAAATTTCAAGGAAAAATGTCGTAAAAATATATTAATGATAATTTATTAAAAAATCAGCGCTAACAACTGCATTTTTGGAAAAAAATTTATTCAAAGTCAGTTGGCAACACCTTAGCAGTTAACATTTATTTGATAAATATATAGCACTGTTTAATTAGCAAGCGAATAATTATTTATATAAAATAATGGCAACACTATTTTAACTTTAATACCAGCTTTTGGAAATATTAAAACTGTGTTTGATTATTTTGACAAACTTTATCAATAGCTTAAAATAATTATTTTATTTCCAAAAATTTTAATATAAATTTAGTCCGATAAAAGTTGCATATAAAGTCAGGTGGCAACTTCACAAAATAATTTTGTAATAGAATTAGTTTAGAAGACTGTTTTGGTAATATTTTTATTAAATTTGAAGTTATTTCGGATTATTATCTCACATGCATCTGGCAACCTTTTTTAAGTGTTTTTTATTTCCTTTAAAAGTCTCCACCTTAAATGCTTTCAAATCTAACGAAAAAGGTTAAAAAATCAATGAAAAATGTGAGAAAATGCTTGTTTAAATACAGATCTTTTAATTTTGATATATATATATGTTACATACGTGTAGGTACATAGACATATACATACATATCTGCGTGTTTGAAATAAGTTATCTTATCGCCTAAAAAATTCAAGCATCAGCCAATGGACTTTAAGCGATTGGTCAACGTCAAAAATTTATTTCAATACAAAAAAATAAAATAAAAAATAATAAATCAAAAAAAAAAAGCGAAAAAAGAAAAAAAAACATTAACACTTCCATTCACGAAGTGCGAACATAAGTAAAACGAAGTTATATTTGCTCTTAAGAGTTGGTAAAGTATTACAACAATGCGCACACGCATAATTAAATTGGTAAAAAGTCTGTAGACAAACGTTCCCAAGTGTGCGCACATCCCAAGATGGCAAACTGGCGCTTTGCTACACATTTTTGTAACGGTTATTTGCAATAGTTAAACAAAAGAAGGAACAAAAAAAGAAATTGCAACAAGTATAGACTAGGTCGTTGAAATTTGGGTGGTGCCATAGTGTTGATTTAATTAGCCAATCGTTGTAAGTTAGCATTCGCCAAAAGTAGCTCTGCGAGTGTAGTTGTCGATTATTTTAGGAGGGATTGAACTACATATAAATTTATGGTAGTATGTACATGTCGTAAACTATTTCCGAATATATGGGCGAGTTAAAAATAATAAAAAGAAATAATTGTGTTAAAATGCTCAAATTACAATAACACTTTACTTTTTACTGTTGTATTTCTTGTTATTGTGTCATAATTTGTAGGTGCTTATCGATTGACACTCACATTTCCGCTTTATAACTCCTTGACATAAATGAAAATAATACCTTAGCTGTTTGTGATATTAAATTACGAGTTACAAAAAAGCAGAAGAAAAAGAAATAAAGCTGACAAATACAAAAAAAAAAAGAATAATAATAACTGGCAGCCCTATGCACAACTAATAGTTAAGGCCGCTAAAATTTTTATATATTTTTTTGTCGATTTTTGTTTATTTATTTTACATTTTTTTATATTTATTTTTTTGACTCAAGTTAGTATTTCTGCTATACTTTTCCTGTCACATTTTTGCCTGAGTGACAAGTGTGGCTTTGGGAAATTCGATGCTGTCGTTGTTGGTTGTGCACATTTGTGCCACATAACTGTACAGTCACCTGTTGCTTTTCGCCTTTAGGCCGAACAGTTACGTCAGTGTTATTGAAAACCATTTGCCACTAAAATGTACAAACGTGCATTTATTTTGTTTAGTTAGGAACCAACAAAAAAAAAATAAAAAATAAAATAAAATAAAAGAAAAACACTATGAAAATAAAAAAGAAATAAAAGTATTGCGCGAAGTGATTGTGTCATCTACATTAACTGTATATAATAATCTATTTCTAAGTGTTATTGAAGGCCTTAATCAATTGTGGAAATAAGTGAATGTAAGCAGTTTGTAAAAAGTCAAACATTGAACAAATAGAATTTTATGTAATAAAAAAATATCGACTCAAGTAAGTGATTTACTAAGAGCTCTGAAGCGTCTGCGCTGCTGCTAGCCATACTAGGTGTTGAATTACTAGGTGGATTGAGAAGGAACGACTACATATTTTAAAATGGTAAGTCCCGGGATAAAGATGTAATTCTTAAATTAAATTAAATTTTTAAATAATTATTTAAAAATATTTCTTTATTTCATTCATTGTTCAACCTAATTCTTATATGAAAAAATTCCTTTATATGAAACAATTTATTAAGAATATTAAAAAAATTAATAGCCAGGACAAGAATACCAACGCTTAATTCAATTTTTCATACACTTGTTATAAGACTAGGTTAGGATAACTTTCAGTGCTTTTAGCGAATTTTAGTTTTTGCGGTTTTGGCTCATTTTTGGAACCCCATTCGCTAGATTGTTGGACGGTTTCGTCGTCTTATTCATAAACTCACGTCTCGTCGTCAGTTGTTATGCGTTTGATGAACCTTGGGTCCTCAGCTATGGATCGACTCAATAAGTCCATTACCTTAAACGCATTTGGAACATTTTCAACGACTCCTTCGCTGTGATTCGATTGGAAACGCAAAATTTCAAGCAAACTCGTTGTTAAATTCTATTCATTTTGAAAATCGGCAGACATACTTTTCCCGTTTGTGGAAACGCATACATAAAAAATGTTGTATTAATCTAGGAAAAATAGTTATATCAATTCGGTTTGCGACCGCAGTTTAAATGGAACAGTCTAGGTGAATTTTGGTTAAATATTTATTTAAATTTAACTTTTATTTAATTCGTTTCAAATTTATATTGTCTGTGCAGGTTCGCTATTATTTCCAGCGAAGCTTATTGGATGACCTTCTATTAAATTTACTAGTACATGTTTGTACAGGTGACAGGTCACAAATTACTGGCATCACATGGGAGCCGGACAGGTATTAGTAACGATGATAGACGCAAAAAATGCAGGGAATTAGGCATGAAAGAGATGCTGGAACACTTCCTCCTTTTCTGTCGAGCTTTATCTGAAACCTGTCCTAGATATCTAGCAGCTTTGCAGTTCATTTAAAAATAAGAAGAAGAAGTATTAAATTTAGATATCAAGTCTCTTTTAAAGTTCGTAAAGAGCGTTGACGTCCTGCATAACGAATGTTATGCCTGAACTGAACCTCCATCTGGCATTCCTAAGGGCCAGTAGGCCAGTATAATAGAATCTAACCTGTAAGGTTGCTACTTATCCGAATGCATTAAAACTATCTAATGAAATATTTATATATTTTAAAATTTAAATTTAAATTAAATTTAAAATGTTTGAAAAATGTTTTTATTGCGTTACCACTTTTTTAAGAATTTTATTTCAATTTTAATATTTAACGGTGTTTCTGTGAACTCAACTTTATATAGAGCTGCCACAGCCATGGAAGTTAAACGAAAATATACAATTTGGTGTGTTCAATAAAAGGACCTTCATTTCATTATTAACCTAATTTCTTTTTTTTTGCACCGAAAATAGTTTTTTATATTAATATTGGTTTTTTTAAAATAATATCGTAAATAATCTATTTATAAAATAAAATCAACAACAATTTGATTTTGAAAAATTCGAGTTGGAATACAAGCTCACATAAAAACACAAAGAAGAAATGCTTTATTCGTATCAGATAACTGTAACTTTTGTACACACTCGTAAACAGGTCGGGAAAAAAAGTAATACATAAAAACAAATAAAATATTGTTGTCCCTCTATCTCTCTCTCTCTCTCTCTCTGTTCAACCGAAACGTGAAATTTGGTGTAATGAAGTGCACCAATACTTTATCACAATATATTGCACATGCGCACGAATACCTCACTTATCATTCTCGGTTACGCGGACAGCTTGCGTATGTCACAATATATTAAATGATCTGTTTTAATTAAATTTCTTGTTGTTAAAAATAAAGCTGGTTTGATAAGTGTGGCATAAATTAAGAAAAAAAAAACTGCAGAATTTTACGTTACAAGTAAAAAATAAATTGTGTGCTGAAACAAAAATAACTGAAATTTGAATTGTTGATAATGTGAAGGAAGTTACACCATGGTACTATTTATACAGATACTTATCTTTCGGAATGACTTGAAGATGTGTGTTTATATATAAAAGCATATAATGAATTCTAAATGAATGACGCAAAATGGCAACTGTTGTCATCGCAATGATATATTTTTAAAGAAATATTTAGCATAACTAATTTGGGCCAAATATAAAGGTACCGCCGGCATAATGTACATGCATACGAGTATACACACAGCCAAATATGATTTTACTGCGCATTGTGCATTGATTGTGTGAAATTGTAAATAAAAACTTTACAGCATGACCGCTCATTCGCACCCACATTCGTTCATCTAAGTGATCTTGCTTTAGAACTAGCAATTTAGTACGAAAATTCCGAAAAATTTAAACTTTATTGTTACTTTATTTTAAAATAAGATCTTAAAGCTATAAAATAACGGGGCTATAAGATAAAGTATTGTTTGTAGGTAATTTCTCGAAATTTCGGGTTTAAATATTTTTGTATACAAAAAGTTATACTAATAGTGAAAATTGTTAAATAAATTCCGAAAAATTTTAATACCAAAATTCGAGATATTCAAAATAGATTTTAATTAAAAACGTAAATTTTAAAGCTGTGGAATAATGGGAATTCAAAGTATTTTTCATATTAATTATGATCCCGAAATTTCGGGATTAAATATTTTTTTATCTAATAGTTATATTTATAGTGAACATAATTTTCATTAAACCCCCAAATAATCTTAGTCCCGAAATTTCAGGACTTTTATTATAGGTTTTTAATTAGATTGAGCGGGCGATCAGCAAAGCAAAGATTTTAAATTAAAAACACCAATTTTAAAGCTATAAAATAATGGGAGTTCAAAGTATTTTTCGTAAGATATTAGAAAGATTCTAAAATTTCGGGATTTATTTTTATTTTATCGATATAATTTCAGTCCCGAAATTTCGGGATTTTCATAATAAGTTTTAAATAAACAAGATTTCAAAGTTAAGAATAACAGGAAAATACCAAAAAGTTTTTTGTAAGATGTAATGAATATGATCATATTCTGATATTTCGGGATGTACGGTGATGTTGTACAAAATCCCGAAATAATCTTATTCACGAAATTTCGCGATTTCTACTCTGTTACTTAAATACGATTATTAAAACGAAATCGTACAAACATATGTATGTCATCTTTTTAAAGCATGGATTTACAATTTTATCAATCATTGCATGTCGCGCATAATCCCGAGTATATATGTATGTATATTGATTTTCTTTTTATCAAAATATTGTATTTCTTTTAATAGTGAAATCACTATTTCTTTCATTCAATTCCATTATCATAACACTGGAATTTCGGTATTCTAAAAATATGGATCTCTCTTTCAAACATATACGGACTTTAAAGAGGAATTGTTATTTATTTCGTTTAACTCCGAAATTACCATAATCGAATATTAAAATTTCGGGATTATCAAAGTAGATATTATTATTTATGAACGTAATAAATTCTTATTTATATTATAATATATAAAATACTACATGTCTCGCACAATCCCGAAATCACCGTTCGAAAATCCCGAAATTTCGGTATTAAAATTTTTTTACAGCAGTATTTAAGCCTAAATGAAGGGCCAAAACAAAGTTATTGCAATCGAATTAAATCATTGTTTTGTCTTTTTTTCTTAAACACAAACATTAGTCTTACACAACCGCGCACCCTGTATACTCAATTATATGAATTTATACAATTAACTTATAGCTTCTAATAATACTATGTTATTATTGACTTAAAGCAAATATTTCTAATTCTAAGCTAAAATGCTGCTATTGATAAAAAATAATCAAGAAAATTCAACCAAAGCCTAGGTATGTACATATGTTCATAGTACATAGACCTTAACTGGGAAGTAATTCGAATGCTTGCAACTTTGCCACCAATTACTGATGATTGCTTTTAGTTTGACCTATTGACTGCATTCAATGTAGCAGCAAGCCATATTGTACAATAAAAATTCTTATCAAAGCAATGAAATATTGTAGTAGTTTTCCAAATTTAATAATGGGGTGGGGTGGCAACGCCTCCGCATTTTTTTCTCTGTCTACTTAGCGGACTTAAATGAGGCCTTTGTGCCGGCATTGTTGTAGGCATTGCATATTGTATTTGTTGTAATTTTTGTTTATTCGATTGCCAACTTGCAACAATTATTATTACATAGTTAATTTCGGAGAGTTAACACAATATTAAATATATTTTTTTAGTTAGTGGCAAAGGTTGCATTGAAATTAATAGAAAAATTAAATTTGTTAATTAATTAATTTGGTTTTATATCAAAGGTAAAACGTGGATGTAACTGTTGTGAGCTAGAAGAAGCTGAGAAAAAATGTTGGAAGAGTATGGAAGATTAATAACCCAGTTCAATGTAGCTTTTCGTAATTAAAAGTGTGAGTAATTCATTAATTAACGTAATTAAATAAAAAGGCATCTAAATAATGTTATAGCAGTGCAATTTTAATTTGCAAAATCAAATTTTGAAACTTTAATCTCAACAACTGGCCTTTCGCAAGCTCTTTCAACTAATTTAGTTTTGAATTTCTCTATTTATTTCGATAAAATAGTCTTGCTTTTAGTTCACGACAGTACTCTGTTACTGCTCATGTAGGGCCCGATCTTAGCTTGATTAACAATCGCTGTTATAAAAACTTTTATTCGTGTTCACTGTGATTCACTTCATCGGCAAAGAAGAGCCGATATATTCGTGCATTTTTTTCAAAATTTAAACGTTTATTTAAGAAAAACATGCAGGTTTTGCCCATCCGAATCTATAATATTTCTACATCTTTCTGGCATTTGGGGATTTCATCCCAAAAGAACTGTGACTGCTTGGCGGCCAGGAAGGAATTAAGCCAACTTTGGATATCCTGTTCTGATGTGAACCGTATTGCAGTGAGGACGCTCTGTACTGCTCGAAAAAAATGGTCAGAAGGGCCAAGGTCAGAGCTATAAACCCGGTGAGGCAAAACTTTCAAGCCACTGTTTTCCAAATAGTTGTAAATCGGTCTTGGAACATGAGACCG